CATTATTAAGTCAATGATGAGTCCCCACAAAGATAGATGTAAGTGTGTATGTGTGTGTGTGTCTCAGGGGTTGAAAAGACTTAGATGTGTGTGTTTGTGATTGATGGTTCTCCCGGGTTGAATGTAGGCTAACAGAGCAACTGACTGATGAGGAGAAAGTGCTGAGCGGCCACTGAGAGCTGCATTATGGGAAATACTGGCAGTGGCACTTGGACAGGAGGAAGCTCCTGCTGCTCTGCTCGACTGGGGTTCAGTCTGTTGATGGTGATTGTGAGGTCTGTATTTAGACACTGGGTTGGAGGTGGTTTGTAGTGTTGTAGGTGAAACACTCTGACTGGGTCACAGGGTGATCATGAGCTTTTATGTCCAACTGTTAATTCTAACACAGTTCTCAGAGGACACAGATCCTTTGGGTGATAATGGCTCTTAGAGCTCAACACAATGCGGCTTAAGAAAACACATGCAAACAGACAAAACACAAACCAATTCAGAAAACATCTTCATCAGTTTGACAACACATGAGCTGCAAATACTCACAACACAACAGAAGTGTTTCCAGGGGGACACTAAAAAGTGATGGACCTGGCTGTGATGCACTTGTTGTTCAATACTTTGAAAAGACTTCTGAAGTTAAAAGCATTGAGCAACAAGTGCACATGGATGTATTATAATACATGTAAATCCATCCGGGTTCATCACTTTTTAGTGTCTCCTGGAACAAGGTAATTATCGTTAACTAAAACAAAATAATTAAAACTAGATGTGGAAAAAACATTTTCCTTAACTGAAATAAAACAAAAACGAGACTTTATAAAAAATGATGACTAACTGAAACTGTATTATTTGTTTACAAAACTAAACTAAAGTTACAGAGAGTGTCTTTAGGTTTGGTCTCATACATCAGCCTGTAGTATTCTGGGTGGGTAAATGATCTATCTTCAGTTGTTTAGCTGTGCAGATGGAGCAGTATCTCACAGCTGATTGGCTCTCAGTGTACGACCAATACGTGTTCACTTTAAGTGTCCACAACAATCACTGTATTAATGATGTCAAGTATTTTATAACTAATTAACTGCAGTGATGAGCTGGACAGTCCAATTCACTGATGAGTTCATGTTGATGAGTTGTTTCATCTGACTGAATCAAACCTCAGAGTTTGTTGAGTTTTTTCATGTTTTTTTCTCAGACTGAGTCGACCTGCGTCTCACCTCAGAAACACACCTACACATATTTACACTTCAGGCTGAACCTTGTGTGATTGTTTACATGTTTTTACCCAGATCTACATTTTATGTTGTTGCTGTTGTTGTGTCCAGTTGGGTTAGGTTAGGGTTAAAACTGAGGGGGGCTGACCTGAATCCAGCAGAACACCTTTGGGACGTGGTAGAACAGGAGATTGGCAGCTTGAATGTGCCATTGATGAATCAGCAGAAATGGTTTGATGCATCATGTCAACATGGAGCAGAGTCTGAGAGGGAAGTCTCAACATCTGGTGGATCCATGACATGAAGAACTGAGGAACTACCCAGTGTTAATGTGCTATTCCTAATAAAATGATCACTGAGTGTACTGTTCCCTGCAGCTACAGTTCCACACCAGGTTATTTTAGCAGTAGAAGTTATCTGTTCCTCCTCTCACCCCCTTCAGCAGAAATGTTATTATATATATATATATATTTTTTTTTACAGTTGAGGGATTATGGATATCAGCTCGCTGCCTGTCAGCCTGTCTGCTGCTCCAACATGCCATCCCCTTCTCACACATATTAAAGCTCAGCGGCAACGAGATGATGAAACCACAGGCAACGTCTTGTTTACCAAAGCTCCTCAACTGTCTCTGAACACTTTACCCAGCGTGGTGGGAAGGAAGAAAGCGAAAACACAGAGAAACAGCTTTATACGTCAGACTGCTGATTGAAAGTGAGACTTGGGGAAATGTGGAAAGTGGGAAATGTTTATGCAGTTTCTCTAAATGATATCTGTATTGTGATATAATGGTAGAGCAGGTGCTGACTCTGACTCTCATCTCTGAAGGTGTCATGTCTCTGTAATGTACTGTGCTCCCAGTGTTTCCTGATGATGGTGATGATGATCCTACTGTATCTACAGCTACTAGATTTCTGCTGTGGACTCTTTTTCTTAAAGCTCCATATTTTCCTCTTCTCCTGTGTTTTATTTGAAGTGTTGATCCATTAGAAAATATATTTGTGGTTTTAAGAACCAAAAACCATCTTAGTGTAGTTTTACATCTCCTCTCTCAGGCTGTTTATTGAATGACGCACGACTAGGCCAACCACAAGCTAACAGATTGTCACCTACTAATGTAGCTTGGTAAAACAGTCACCAGTAAATATAAATGGTGATGTTCAGTCAGAGTCAAATTCAGACTAAAATCAGTTGTTTCAGAAGAAAATAACCCTTGGTCACTGGGAAGGCTGTGCTGAGATATATTGGCCTCCTGTGTTGTAGCTTGCTAGCTTAGCAACACAATGACGTTTGTTGTTATTTTGTTAACCCATTAAGACCTGAGTCTCCCTCTAAAACTTCAGCACTGTGTGAAAACAACCTCCTAAAACCTGAGGGTTTTCTGAAAAACTTGATGTTCACTAAAGCTTTTATTTCTCAGCCTCTGAATCATGAAACATGAAACATGAAATAAAAACCATTTGAGACCTAAAACCTTTGGCTTTTATTGTAAGTAATTGACTTTGCCTTTGAAATTTCATAAATTAAAACAAGTACTTTTGTCAACATTCTCAGTTCAGTTCAATTTTTTTTTTATGTTTATTGATTAAAAAATTTTGATGAGCAGTAGGATAAAAGCAATGGTTTACAGTAAAAATCAAAGTTTTAAGGTTTCATTCACATGGTTTTGTCTCTATCTGAGGCTGAGAAATAAAGGTTTTAGTGACAATGTGACATCGGGTGAATTTTTAATTCTAGCTAGCAATGATACTGGCTCCTCCCCTTCTGTCTCACCCTGAGCCTTGACTAGCTGGTTAGCAGCTTAGCAGGTTGAAGTCTTCTAAGTCGCTGTCTTTGTTTTTTTCATCCAGGTAACTGTTGTAACCTGCCTCTGTGTCTCTCCCCTCACTCAGGTCATAATACATTGTCTGAACCGCGACTTAAAACATTTTCGTGGCTAAAAATCAAATGAAATACATTTACCATAATGGATTTCACCTTCCTGACACGAATTTCAGTGAATCACAATGCATTTCATCAGTCACTTGTCTTTAAAATGATGTAATCATATACTACGCATGCACATCTCATCTAGTCTTTATAGATTAATACAAGTAAAATCATCAACAACAACAAAAAACTATGGATGGTGGGTCCAGGTGGGTGCAACTTCAGGGCGTGGCTGAGGGCGGTGACTGCTTTGTTGTGACATCACAAAGTAACAGGAGTCCTGACGCCTGGTTTTTAGGCTCAGTTTCTGAATACACGTTGTGTGCATTTCTCTGTGGACTGAGCTCTTTGATACTTTCACAGTATTAATAAAGAACTTAGACCTGCTTTGTAATCACACAACACATGGACAGAGACCTTTAGACTATATGGACCTTTAATAAGATGATGCTACAGATATTTATACAGTTACTTTTGGTCAGACCTTGAGTCTGGACTGTGGCTATGTGACTGACCTGGACAGTTAGTGGTGAGTACAGTAGGGTGTGAGTCATTAATATTAAATCCATCATAGCGACTTGTCTGAGGAACACAGTAGATGACGAGACACAAAGAGCAGTGTTAGTGAATGTAGCTTCCTCTTTCTTTTGTTTTCGCCCTCAGCAGCTCAGCAGAGCAGGGCAGTGGGCAAACAGTGGACAAATTTGCAACCATCATAAAAACAGGAGAGAATGGTCAGAGCCTGAAGTGCTCCTGAGGGGAGGCAGGAGATGATCTACAGTGCTGAGATGATTGGCCCCTGGGCCTCTGGGAGAAAAGCCAGAACACTACTTCAGCAAGCCCCCAGTGCTGGGCTCTGCCTATTCAAAAGCCATGAATCAGCAGAAAGCAGCCCCCTCTTTGCCTGCAGACACACACACACACACACACACACACACACACACACACACACACACACACACACACACACAGCCCGTGGCTGATGAGACAGACAGACTGCATGCTCAGCTGTCTGTGTTGGGGCTTTATGTTCTGCAGCATTGAAATGAAACACAATGAAAAGCCTCTGGACAGAGCTGCAGGAATCAGTGTGGAGAGCTGCTTTATGTCTATATGTACTTCTTCAATGTCTATCAACAGAAACACACTAATCATACAGCAGGTCACCATTGAGAACAATAAACCCTGATAAAAATGTAAAAATGTATCCTCTGTCAGACAGGTGTTGGAGTGAAAACAGAACTGGCAGGGACCATGTAATGTTTATCACTGTGGTGGCTATACAGGAAAGACAATCTATCACTGTTATTAGGGTTAGGACTGTATATTATATTTATTGTAGTTAAGCATCAACCTCCGTACCAAAACCTGCAGTTCCCTCTAACGACCACTAGAGTCTGGCTCCAACAGTGATTATTTTCATTTACAGATTGTTCAAAAACTTTTCAAACTCAAATACCTGAACAACTGTGTGGTCTCTAAACAATAAATTCAATTTGTGACTGTACTCTTTGACCTGTCTCCATCATGTCTTCCCTCAGAGGCTCCTTTTTCCCAGATGACTCATTATTTGTTGAGTGTACTGTTGTTGCTTGTTCAGGGCTCGTTAGTGGTAGAATGATTGATGGCAATCACCAGCAATCTTGAATATCCATACCTAGTATCACGGCAACCAAGAGACAGACAGAATCTCCATGTATTGTCCATATATTGTTGAACAACCTCACTTTAAACTATCTAAGAAGAATCTTGTAGAATTCCTTGTGTCATATCTCTTCACACCTGAACACAGTGAGGAGTGTTCCCATGCAGCAGGCTAACGATCCTTTCTCTGTCTTTCTCCTCTGCAGAGTCCCAGAGGGAGTGATGTTGGCAGGCGAGGAGCAGGACAGCGAGGCGTCCGCAGCGCCCATGTACGTGTATGAATCTAAGGTCCACTGCGCCAACGTGCTGTTGAGCCTGGAGGAGCAGCGGCGGCAGGGCATCCTCTGCGACGTGACCGTGCAGGTGGAGGGTAGGGAGGTTCGAGCACACAGGGCTGTCCTCGCCGCCAGCAGCCGCTACTTCCTACAAGCCCTCCTGGGGCACAACACGTCACCCGGTGAAGCGGAGCCCATCATTAACCTGCCGGACAAGGTAAAGGCCCACCAACACTTCCACATGGAGTGGTCTGGTTCTTTGAATGGGTTTCTAGTTAGGTGACTGAATTAAGGTCTGTGTTAAGGCAAGCTCAAGATATTTTCATGTTTTATTCTATGACATAAAATAAGTCAGTAAATACCCCAGTCCTGATTTCTTTAAGCTTTTACATCCGTTAAAAAAAGGCTGGTTGCTAACAAGTGGTTGAATGAGACTACTGAGGTTGTCGGGGACGTTCATCATCACGTTGAACATGAAAGACTCAGATGAGGAGTCTGTTGAGACCAGAATCTAGCAGACGGATCTGAACCATTTGCGTAGTTAGCATCTTCTATTTGTTTATATTGTTTGTTAGCTTGTAACTGACAGTGGCTGACACAGTGTTAGTGGTTGTGCTAATGCTAACTCTCTCTCTCTGTACTGACAGGTTTATTTAGCCCCGCCCCCCGTCCCCACAAGTTGACAGGATTGGTTCCTTAGGTTTGTGACGCATGAAACCCTGAATCTGTTTTTATGAGGCTGTCACTGGTTCACTGCAGTTCAAGGTGGAAACACACAACATTATTTATCTCATCATATGTCTTGTAATATAAAAACATCATGTGGATGTTAACAAGGTAAAACAGGCAAATGTCTTTAAATCTTACTCAGCCTTAATGGCCAACCTCGGTTGTTCATAGTGGAGTGGAGGTGTTGATGGATTCAGATCTAAAACAGACTGATGGTGAACCTGCCTGAACCATGCATAAATTAAGACTCATTGCGCTGATCTCAAAAGAACCAGAAGATGATTAGACCTGATCCTGCAGTGGAGTCCTGAAGTGGAGTTGAAGAGAACCACCACTCGGAGCTGCTACAGTCTGCACAGATCTACCTGGCTTTAGACACAGACCTTACACAACAGAACAGGACTCTATCCAGACCCAATTATTCTGTGCTATAGTTCAGACCCAGCTGGACTTGGGCCCAGAGTCTGGTCTCATAAGCAGGACAGTATGTAAAGCAGGGGCAGGAGGACATGGAGTCGAGGCGCTGAGATACCTCGACCTTCCTTGGATAAATAAGGTTAAAGAGAAGGGGGGCACATGGATGAAACAGTGGGTTTGACACAAATGGATCTGTTTATGAAAATCTTTTGGTCATGAATATGGATGGCGTCGCCCTGTTAGCTGCTGCTGCTTCCATTAACCACTGGGGCTGATCAGGGACCAGCTCCTGATCCCAGGGGCTGGTTTTACCTTATAATGCTCCAGATCTGTCATATTGATGAATGTGTCTCTACCTCATACAGTAACAACTCACACTGGCCTGCACCACTTTACATATCAAACTCCATCCCCTCATGACTCTAAGCATGGCTTCATATTCCTCATCCTTTCTACTGTCCATTCACTCACCCGCTCATAAATGACTGGAGTTCAGAGGGAAACAGATGTGGGTGTGAAGTTCAGTATTTTCAGGACTAAGGACGTACCGCTCGTCTGCTTGGTTCTTGTAAAATTGAAAATGACATTTTCTAGGTTATTGTTTTCCAAGATGTTTTGGACTTATTGAACTTCCTCTATAGGTACAATTATAAGTGTTGAAGTGCAGGCTGTAAACACCTGACATGTTCAATATTAATTAATAAAAGTGTCTTCACCGGCTGCTTAACTACTTATTCTTCATTCACATTTTATGCAGGAAGCAGGAAACTGAAACATATTTTTAGTTCAAGTTCAACTAAACCCGGCTCTGTATTAAAGTGATAGTTTGGGTTAATTGATATGGGGTTGTGTGAGGTTCTTATCTATAGTCAGTGTGTTACCTGCAGTAGATTCAGACCAGCTGCCAGTTTAGAAAAGCAGCAGGAGCAACAGCACAGAAAAACAATTTAATATCAGTTGAGGTGTCGCTTTATTTTGAACATTTACATTGCTTTATCTGCCGTCAAACAGCCCTTTACTTTGAAACTACAGTTTGTGAACCTTTTAAACTACTGAATTACTACGCACAAGCGCACACACAGTTCTGATTTACAGTTTTACTTGATGGTTGTTCTTCATCCCTTAAACCGTGCTGACCAGCTGATGGTCCAGATTAACACAGAACTTTTTTTAAGTTTTAAATTCTAGTGAAGATCCTAAACTTTCCAAAGACACAAGATGATAGAGAATATATATCATACTGTCAGACAGTGTGGAATTATATATATATATTTTATTTACTTTAAAAAGGTGAAAACTACATGTTAAGTGGTTAATGATCAATCATTGTCACTGATTACTCCCACCTGTCTCCTGTGCCATCTGTCCCTGCTGCTGCTCATCAGTAGGACTGCTTCAGTGTGGAGAGAAGCTTCTCTGCACAGGAGGCAGCAGCTGCTGATGCCTGCTGAAAATAGGCTTACATCCACTCCAATACACACATACACACACACACACACACACACACACACACACACACACTTATTCATGTACACACGTGCGCACACAGCTATATGCAGTAAACAGCCACACAGCAACGCACACTCATATGAACACATAATAGCCATGCTGAATGTAGTGAACCAGATGGAAGCAGAGGAGATGCGGGGTGAAGGAGAAGAGGAAGAAGCTGAAGGATCCACAGTCAGACAGCCTAATGTATAAGATGAATAAACCTGGAGTGTGGCAGAATGACTATGAATAAAGTGGATTGGCTTGTGAGGCAAAGTTCAGTTTCTTTCGTTTCCAGATAACTTCTTAAAATCCTGTAAGGTCAATGTTGTAACACACAATATTTTCTTTTTTATTCCTCCGCGAGGCATATTGTTTTCAGGTTGTCCCATTCTCATGCACACAATATCTCAGTAATGCCTTGGTGGAACTTCTTCAAATTAGGCACAAACATTCACCAAGACACAAGGATAAACTGATTAGATTTTTGGTGGCTAAAAGTCAAGGTCATGGTGACCTCACAAAACAGGATTTTGGCCTTGTGAACACAATATCTTGACCACTCCTACAGCGGATCCCTTCACATTTAGCACAAACATTCACTTGTACTAAAGTTTGAACTGATTAGATTTTGGTGGTCAAAGGTCAAAGGTCAAGGTCTTGGTGACTGCACAAAAAGCTTTTTATCTAATCTTCAATGATGGACTTCACGTGATGCAGACCCTTGCATACTCATGTATATGGAAAGGGTTGAACTGGAAGACACTGAATATGTTTGAGCAGGACAGCTTTGTTCAGCCAGGCCTAGCTGGTCAGAGATTATAATATGATTATTATATAATTATTTGCGGCAGAAGAAATATTGAAGGACACCTTGAATTAAGTATTCTCTGGGAGCCGTCATCAAGGATGGCTGATGTTTCTAGGTGTCTTCCTCTATAGCTCAAACATCACCTTCATCACTTTAAGGACAACCATGGAACTGCAGCTTTAATGCATAAGATAATAAATTGTTGAAGGTGCCTTTGGTTAGATTCTTGCAGAATACCGGCGTTTTCTCTCACATCTTGGACAGAGTTTCTCAAGGTTACAATGAGTCTTTGTCTTTGTTTCTTCAGAAGAAAGCTGGCAGAAGTCAGGACAAACACTTAAATTATAATTGATAGTGGTGCAGGAAGGAGAGGGTGATTTTGAAGTGCTTTAGTTTGTAAGGCGACGGGAACTGAACCTTTTCTGATTATTACTAGCTCAATCTGACTAGTATCTTTTAAATTACTCACTGTCAATAAAAAGTATTTTTTCATCTCACATTTAATCAAAATCTGTTCTCTACTCTCCTCTGCAGGTAACAGCCAAGGGTTTTGCACCACTGCTCCAGTTTGCCTACACAGCCAAGCTGGTTTTAAGTCGGGAGAACATCCATGACGTCATCCTGTGCGCTGACTTCCTGGGTGTTCACAATTTGGAGGACTCTTGCTTCCGGTTCCTTCAGGAGCAGCTACAGAATGACAGCCAACACGCCAGTAATGGCAAGGTGGACTATGACGATGACATCACAGCCAAGGACACAGTGTTTTCGGAGACGGCATCCGTGGACGATTCTGCAGACACGAGGCATGATGTAGCAAGCACTACGCCACTTCCCACTGACCCTCCTCAATGTCCGAAATACAGGAAATATCACTACCAGATCTGTGACAACAAGCTCAATGGAGAAAACCATCATGGCAGTGATGATGTCATTTTGGCCAATCATACCTCAGTCAGCCCTGTGAGCTCGCAGCTTGCAGACAGCAGTGCTGCTCCACAAACTCTACTTACACCCTCCAGAATCAAAGAGGAACCCTTTGTGTTTGAGGAAGAAGAAGAAAGCAATGGCTGCAACACGGAGTTGTGCACCGAGGAGGTGCTGGAGATGGAGCTGGAGGTGGAAGGGGTTCCAGTAGCAGCTGAGCACTCGCCTAGCCAAGGCTCGCCCTCTTCCTGTCTGCGCTCCTACCTCCAGAGAGGTGGCCTGGATCTGAGCGGTGTTCCCAGCGCCACCATCCAGCAGCTACTCACCAACAGACTGTCCCTCAACCACTACAGGGAACTGGTCAAAGACAGACAGAGGGATAAGAGGGAATCTGTCGGCCAAGTGGACCTCAAGACCGGCATTGCAGATGTAATACCATCAGCACTGACTGGTATTGGTGGGAACATGGAGAGGCCAGTGTCCAAAGCCTCCTCCTCTAAACATGAGGGCGAGCTAGACAGACGCAGTGTCATTTTCTCCTCAGCAGCTGGCGAGCGACAAATGTTGGCCCAATCTTACATGGACGAGAAGTTCAGAGAAAAAGTCTCAACCCTGATGCAGGTAGAACCTCTTTCCTCCAGTCGATCATGCCTCACCACCAGCTGCCCTGTTCCCATCAAGACATCAGCCCACTCTCCTCCTCCCTTTGAGCCCCGAACCCAGACTTCCAGCTCCCGTTCCTCGTTCTCGTACCCAGAGGACGCAGGCAGCAGTAGCTCACCTTCCAGCCTGCCCCAGTTTGACTTCTCCTCATCGCCGCACTCAGGCTCCATCTCTGGACTGTCTCAGTGCCTGGCTGGGGTGATGGAGCAGAGGAACCCCCACAGCGGAGAGGTGGTCTTCTCTCAGGGTTGCACCAAGATCAAAAGTGAACGGGGATTTGGTGCCAGTGGTGGCAACTCCAGTGATGAATCAGGCTCCTTCTCAGAGGGAGACAGTGAAAGTGGCATGTCCAGAGTCTCTGGTCCTGAGGTTAGTACGCTCCTCTACTATACTGTCTTGAGCAGGATACTCTTTGTGTTAGCATCAAGGTAAATTCAGTGCCTGGCCGATGGTAAACATAGTAAACAATGTACCTGCTTATCATCAGCGTGTAAGCATTGTCACTATGAACATGTTAGCACACTGATGTTAGCATTAAGCTCAAAGCACCACTGTGTCTAAATACAGTACAGCCTCATAGAGCTGTTGGCATGACTTCAGACTCTTTCTCCTGTCTGACAGAATTTCCCATCAACATGAACCCTGCAAGTTGTTTATGCTTTTTTTTTAAAAAAAAATCTAGTTTCTAACACTCACTTGTCTTCTTTGTCATGCTATTAAATGGTAATGTTGAAGTATTTATCACCTGATCAATAACTGACCTCTTTTTAAAGCTTTAAAAACACATCTTCCTGTGTCAGTGGCCTGGATCATTGATTTACAGCTGGGACAATTCTTAGACAGTTTTCCTCTCAGGAGAAATGACGCAAACACTTCCAGCACATGCTCCTTGGACTTAAAAGAGCTGTATGGTTGCCATGGTGACGCCTAAGTACATGCAATATCTGAAGAGATGTGAGATTAGTTTCATACTGGAACTCACTCTCTTTCTCTCTCTCTCTCTCTCTCTCTCTCTCTATCTCACACACACACACACACACACACACACACAGAATATTAGCTTTATTAGATTTGAGTGGTTGTGGCCTCTGGCCTGCGAATGAATCAACAGAGATCCCACTACATTACCGTTAAGAAGACCCCACATGCCACCTTTGCTTGTTTACATTGAACCAGACAATGCTGGTAGGTTGCCACGATGTGTGTGATTTCAGCATGATGGTGTTTCGGGATCAGAGGTGTGACGTAACACAACAGCAGCACCTTTGTACCTTTTAAGGAATAAAGGCACAACCGTTCCTGCCTTGAACAGGCAGGTGAAGATGAGTTAATGCTGGCTTGTGTTGTAAGGACTTCAGTTATTCAGAGTTCACGTGCTGAAACTGATACTACAGACCCAGCCTATTTATTTCAGATGTTGTTCTCCACATACAGTTCTGCATGATGATGTATTTTTATAGTCCAACCCTGCAGTTATCATCACCCTAGTTCCCTCTATTAAAAGTCAATGGGATTCTTCCATTGTCTTTTGGATTATTAGAGAAAATAAACTGTAACAGTTTCTGATCCTGACAGGTTTAGTTCAGCAGGATCATCTTCACTAATGAACTCCACTTTATGATGTTTGAAGCCTAAAAACAATCAACAGAAGACCAACTACACCACGGTCACATGACTTCACCGTCACCACCACTAAACTTCAACTAATTTGATTTAGCTCTTATCTCTTCAATAAAAAGCCTTTCCTCTGACATGGTTAGTAACAGTAAATCAACACCGGGATATTTACTGACGTATTTTATGTTGTAGACTAAAACGTGAAAATGTCTTGAGCTTTTGTTAAACACAGACCTTATTTCAGCCATCTAACCAAAAACACATTCAAAGAACCTGAGACTTCAGGACCAGGGAACAGGAGGAACTAACATGCAACTAATTTCAGGGTTTTCAGACTCACTCCTTCAGAACTCTATAACTATGAATATGTGCATAATATACTGTGTAGAGCTGAAGCTAAAGCCGATTGTCCCCTTTTCCACTGTCAGTGGAGTTTGTTTTTCTGTTTGGACTGAGAACACACACAACTGCAAGGAGCAACATCATCACATACACTTACAGAGCACACACACACGGGCACAGGGGAGAAACAGTGAGCTGTTAGCCGCTGTGCAGACTGGTAAAACAGGTCTGTCACGTCTCATCCTCAGGTTGTTGCTCCTGTCAGTGTCAGTGATTGTGTGTTTTTAAAACTTATTTCAGGGCTGCAGCTCACTCTCAGGGTAAAGTGTAACCGCAATGTTTCTGGTTTACCAGCACCTGGACAACTGGTCTGTTTAGTGTCTGTGCTCTGAAAGACGTCACAGCAGGAAAAGGGGTGAAATTTGGTGGGTTCACCCGAGTGTTGTGTTCACATCAATACCGATCGGAGCCGGAGCTGATAGATACCCGTGTGTATTGCAGAGTCATGTGACCCGGGTGTGAATGCTGATTGAACCATTTTCAATTGCCGTCAAAAGCCTGATGTTAGTGGGTCTTAGCAGGTTTTATAATCAGTGGAAAAGGGGCTTTAGAAATGCACCACTCTCCCAGTAGAGTGTGACACTGTTAAGAGTTGATAAGCACACTGGGCGGCTTTGTAACACTGTTGTATTTAGTTTTGTTTTAATGTAGTGTTACATGTGTGCATACTTACATCATATATCACTCCTCTGTATGTATTTGTGTGTGCATGTGTGTATATATGTGTGGTCTGTCCCACTTCTTTGCCCTGACCCAGTTGTCTCACCCATAGAGCGGACACACACACACACACACACACACACACACACACACACACACAGACACACACACACAGGGTACCCTGCAGGCAGGTGGAAGGTGTCCTGTCAACGCTCCCTCCACCATCTGCTGTTCCTGACCCCAGATCTGACCGCTCCAATTAGGCCAGCCTGTTAAAACCCCCTCTCCACTCAACTTTGCATTTTGGAGTTTTTCCTTCTTTTCCTTCTTATTTAATTATTATTTAAGTAGTAGTGAGTATTTACAACATTAGTATTGTGGGGATGAATATTTCTTGAATATTTCCTGAAATAAGCCGATCCCTGCTGGGAGATTTGGTCATTGCAACAAGAGGAACAACTGAGTTAATTAAAAGATACACAGTTTAAACAAACCACCAAAACAAAAATCAAACAAAGAAATCAAATAGACTAATTTATATAAAATAATTTATAGACTTTAACATGCAGCTGAGATTTTGATGAAAGTGCCATAGAAAGACAAAGGCACTTATCTGTTAAAAGCCTGGGATGCTTTTTGTAATGCTAACACAACAACATGTATTATTATCATAGTCGTCTGACATGTAAAACAAAGTCGGAGTTTGTACAGATCATAGACTGTAAATACAGATGGACGTAGCCTCTTTGACATCACCCACACACCCGCGGTTTTGAAGCTCAGAGTTAGCCGCACCACAGTCGCCATCTTGGCAGTGTCTGACTCCGCCCGTAACTCCCAGCTAATCCAAAAATGGTCAAAGAGGTGGGGCGTGTGTGGAGCAGACTTTGGTGCATGCTGGTCATTCAAGAGGCCACACCCTCAATTATACATAACTTTAAATGTTAATAAAATGTAAACAGGTGAGTTATATAAACAGTTGATGTGAAGGAGGAAATTAGCTCTAGAGACCCAAATTGTTTTTGTAACAGAGTGTAAATGTGTAAAGTTGGACATTTTAACATGGGAGTCTATGGGGATTGACTCACTGTTGGAGCCAGACTCTAGTGGTCAGTAGATGAACTGCAGGTTTTGGCTCCATTTTTCAGATGCTTGATACTGATGTCACTCCGTGCTCTTTATTTTAACTGTAATGTGGGCTGGGATTCTGCAGAAAAGGGGCAATTCAGATTTTCCTCACAGCTGATTGGTTAGGAATTTGAGAGAAAGAAACTACGCTGTGACAGTTACCAAGACAACAGGACTCACTTTAAACCCGAGGCTAACTAATCCTTCTTCATTAGTCAGGCACCTGATTCCCTTGACACTGTTAATAATATTGAATTACAATTGATGTGTTGTCTATTAAGAGATAATAAAAGCACAAACTACTGCTCCTGGCTCAAGCCTTCTTCAACTGCTGCGGATTATTATGCCAGCAAGTGTTGACATGTGTCATTGTGTTAGGTTGGTAGAGATAGTAGAGTTAGCTGTGATGGGAATAGTTCAACACATTGGATGATGTCAGTGCTGAACTATTCCCACATCATCTCCTCACAGTTTAACCCCTGTGGCTGTAACACAGTTACTGTGATTATTGTCTTTGTCTGTCTCGTAGACTGATCTCAGGACTCATGCGGTTACATCACGTGGCTCTAATCCTCCTCTGCAGGTTCACACTTTCTGATAATCCTGCAGTTATTACATTTAACAACAGTCTTTATTTACATGTAGTGTATTACAGTCATTCTTTTGGCTAAATGTTGATGTTGAACATGTTAGACAAGTTCTCGTTCTAACACCATGAAGTGATGGAGCGAGCGTCTCCGAGGATACACACACTGTTAAAAATGGAAACCAGAACACCAGAGAGAGACAGAGATTGGTCGAGGGATTTATGACCATCCACGGCTCACTTTGTCATTCCAACCTTATTATGTGACTGCTGAGAGTCATGGAGCTATATATAGATGTCTATAGAGTAAAGGACAGGCAGCACCTAAACACACACACACCACACACACACACACAACACACACACACTCTCTTATCCCTTTACTCTTTGAATGATGTCATTGCTGTATACTGGCAGCTCTGTGCTGAACGCTGCTGGTATGATGAAAACAGCTTGGATCTGCTGTAGCAGACTGTTCTGATGCAATCTAACATGGAGGGAACACGGAGTAAGAACGGTCAACACACAGTGTTCACTCAGCATTGCTCTCATACAGAAAATCAACAAGAACATTTAAAAAGTAAGAATTTAGTTTCAGGGGCCACAGCTACACGGTGGATACACACCCAGTGCAAGTAAGCAGGATGACAAAGAAAGGCTCAAACAAATCAGCTAATTGGACTACATTAATGGAGTTATAGAAAATTATTTACAAATCAGCTATTTGGAGTACATTAATGGAGTTATACAAAATTATTTAAAATACCAATAAATACTTACATAAGTAAATGCATAAAATAGGAAAAAAACAGATATAAGAATAATACATAACCCATTAAAGACATCTAAATGCAGACACATTATACACACATAACAGAGAAATAACAAGTAAGAAAGAAATTGTTACATGTTTCAGGTTTTGGACTAAAATTAGCTCCAGACTGAAACAAAGAGCTCGTCCTGTTTTCTCTTTGTGTCAGAGCTGCTGGGATCAGTCAGCTGCTCAACACTGACACCTGGTGGATGGTACACCACATGTCTCTCCAGCAGGCAGCTGGGCACTGATGTTGAATAATACTCCTTACTGAATAGGAAGAGTTCAAATCCTTAATTAAAAAAACAATTAAAACAGCTCCATTACAAGTGCTTTATTAATCCTCCCTAAGTAAAAGCTTATGTATTTATATCACATCACATAATGACTTCATGATGGAACTAGATATTGCACTTTCAATATAGTTGTAGTGCTTCTTCTTGCTGTATTGATACATAATGTTATATTTACAACAAAGAGTCCTCTTATCTCTGATTAGTCTTCAGTTGCAATGTATCTTTAGGATTATAATTAACACATTGTCAGCTTTGATTCAAAGCATTGAATGAAATATTCATTTCATGAGAACCATGCCGAGGTGATGATAGCACTCTGCTCGGCCCAGGCAATATACTCAAAATGTAAGATCTCATCACAGTCCAACCCAATTATCTCAGTATATGATATAATGACAGCATCAGGGGGTGGGTTTTATTTGTCACATGCCAAGGTTCAATGTACAGCAAGCACAGCAGTGAAATGGGGGTTTGACTCAGCAGCAGGGCAGACTGCGCAAGACTGCAAGACAGCAAAACTGCAAAACTGCAAAAAAAAAAAAAAAAAAATATATATATATATATGTATATATATATTCAACAATTTCCCGTAGGGGATTAATTAAGTATATCTGATTCTGATACTGATATATATATATAGATATATAATTGACATTATGAAAAATATTTAATATGGTGGGAAATAGCACTCACTTGCCAGTGTTGTGGAGTAGTGAACTACATGTAATTAATCTAGTAGTTTAACTACATCTTGCAGTAAATTGCTGGTAGTTCAACTACATTCAAATGTGATTCAAGAAGTTAAATCGCTTTTTTGCCATTTTTCAAATGATTTGGGGTCAAAAAAGGAATAATTTTTTATTTTATCATTGCCTCTCTACTGTAACTGAACCATTGACCAGCCTGCCCCCTTTTCCTTTCGTCCTGACTCCTGTAAAGCAGCGTCCAGGCAATGCATTTATCAGGCAAGACACCACCACACACTTCACCTTTGTGTAGTTTGTGTGTCACCATGCTCAAAACCAGTTATTCTGTACAAATCCAGACCTGACATTCCAGCGCTTCCCCATGAACAGTGGGGTATTTTTATTTTTTTGGTTTATGTATGTATGTTTTTGATCATTTCGTATCACATGTACATTGTCAATGTGATCATTTTGAAGAACTACTTTTTGTAAGTAGCTTTAGTTAAATAAACTAGATTCCTCCATAGTGGAACTTCAGTGGAACATAAACTCTTGATTCTTCATGTTGCTTTTATTGTGAAAGTTCATTCTTCACCTTAAAAACAGAGGTGTGACAAAATAATCTTGATACTATCTAGCTTTCAACCAGGTCTCTTAGTCTGAATGAGTTTGTTCGGTTGTCAGGGAGATGGTTCAGCCGCCATCACGTGACATGACTGTGAATCTTTGTGGTCCTTACAGGTAAAGCTGCCCTTCCCCGTGGACCAGATCACCAACCTGCCGCGCAATGACTTCCAGATCCTCATCAAGATGCACAAGCTGAGCTCAGAGCAGCTGGAGTTCATCCACGACGTTCGCCGTCGCAGCAAGAACCGCATCGCCGCACAGCGGTGCCGCAAGAGGAAGCTGGACTGCATCCAGAACTTAGAGGGCGAGATCCGCAAACTGGTGCGATCACACACACACACACACACACACACACACACACACACACACACACACACACACACACACTTTCAGTGGGCGCTTTTAGGTGATGTAGCACCCTCTGGTAGCCATACTGGGTAACTGCAGTTCCTTATCCTCACAATAACTGATTGATATTAACCAGTTCGCCATCACTGTGTTGAAGGGAAACGTCACAAAATTATTATTATTATATAGTATTAAGGATTTCCCCACAGATTTCTCTCAGTTAAAGGGTGATTACAGTTATTTATTATTATTTCCTGGTTCTGTGATAATTTCTTTCAGTTACAATAAGATGATGAGAAAATGAAGGTGAACAGTAAGATGATTACACAAGCTGTCTGTTGTTAACATCCATCACAGTTTACAAGCCCACGTCCTGCTTCAAGTGATTTCCTGTGACATGAGGACGTATTAGATAATGTGGCTAAACAGCTGTAGTCATTGTGTTGTCATCATGTTCCCAGAGTACTGTCTTATCATACCCCCAAAAAAACTGAACAACACGATGTAAACTCTCATTCCCTTTAAAAACAATCCATAGCAGCAGTTTTGGATCTGATGGTCCATAAGAAAAAGGATTGAAACGACCATTATCTGCCATTGCTGTGGTAGGCTACATCCACACTACTATGTTTTAGTTTTAAATTTGTCTCTCTTCCTGAGTTTACTCCTGCTGTTCACAGTACTTCAGAGTTTTTGAGCCATGAAAATAGAGACTCTGGGGGTTGTGTTGTACTCTGGATGGACAGAAACTGNATACTTCAGAGTTTTTGAGCCATGAAAATAGAGACTTTCAGAAATGCTGCTGGACCCACTTTATTTTGAAAACTCTGGGGGTTGTGTTGTACTCTGGATGGACAGAAACTGAGATGATGACGTAGACACCTATATGTTCTGTATGTCAACGCTACAACTGTCTGTTACTGGTTCATAGTATTTTCTGCAACTAATTGCAACTAACTGCAGAGTAGACAATCTGCTTCCTTTTTACACTGGCTTGCACATGCCCAGTGTACTTGAATGGTCATGTGATATGTGTTTTAAGGTGTGTTAGTATGGATGGAGATTATTGCTTATATGGAACTAAAAAGCTTGTCTTTTGTTTTAAAACGCCGTTATAAAAATGTTAAGGTTTTGGAAAAAAAACAAACATTGTATTGGTTATGGTCAGGGAAAGATGAGAGTTTAGGTTCAAATCCAAACTGCAACTAATTACAAAGGTCAGGGTTCCTTTGTTGTTATTGTTAGAAGAAGAAATACTGAGTCTGAGATTAAGGAACAATTACAGTCTCCAGAAACTACGAACTACAGTATTCAGCCAGGAGTCAAAGTTCACACAGCCTCTAGAGGTTGCTTGTTAAATGTTCAGACAATATTAACGTAGTGGACTGTGTTGGTGGGGGTCTGTTGATTCAGGTACCAGTGAGACAGGAAATAAATCCAGGAAATCCAGTTTGATTATCAGATCCATGAGTTTGAAATCACTGCACAGATATTTCTAAAAGTTTGAGGAAGGATTTTATTGCGTCAACACTGTGGCTTCATGTTGGTCTGAACACATTTGGCTCTTGAACAAATGACAGATGCTGTTGTTTCTCTGGTGCTCACAGATGAGTGTCCAGTGTTTTCACCATGTTGACCCAATGAAACTTTGTCTTATGAACACAGATGTGTGAGAAGGAGAAGCTGCTGAGCGAGCGCAACCAGCTGAAGGTTTGTATGTCGGAGCTGTGGCAGAACCTCTCCTTCCTCTCCCAGCAAGTGTGCAGGGAGGTGCAGGGCAGCCAGCCGCCTCCCGTCTCCGCCAGCATCGACCTCACATCCATACCGCCGTCGCCTTCCTCCGACGACATCTCGTCCCAGCCCAGGTCGCCGGTGTCACAGCAAAGTGAGGCTGCGTGTCTGTCTGATGTGGGTCTCAGCCAGGGGAGGGGGGGCAGGCAGTGTAGGGTGGAGGTGTCGGATGTGGGGCAGCAGAACGCGGAGTGTCCACTGGTGCGTGGATCCACTGAGGAAACATGTAGCCCCACTGTAACAGTGGATTTCTGTCAGGAAATGACTAAGAAATGCACGACGGATGAACAGAAGAGACAGGACTGTCCTTAGAGTCAGTGGTGAACGGTTTGGTCTACGACACACTCGTCTTGTCTATACCTTGATATTTGAAGTATTTTTTTCTTTTTTTTTGTAAAGGATGACACAAGCGTTATCTTATCAGCAATACTGTTCAACAGATATTTTTTGGACTGGTATAAAACAGAAGCACTGGCAGCTTTCTCTCTCCCTCTCTATCATCCTGACTTCTTCCTGTCAACTTCCCCAGCTCTCTCGTGCATCACGGGAGGTTAAACTCAGGAATTCCACAGAATGTTCAGTAATGTCCCTGTTCACATGTACACGCACTTTACTTTAGAGTCCTGTCCAAGCTGGATAATTACTTTGGTACGTACGGTTTATTTGCAGTTTTAATTATCGACACCTGTCACGTCTGGTTGACCAAAGGAATAGTTCAAGATTTTATTTGCTTTCTCTCTGAGAGTGAGATGAAAAAGATTGATACCAACCTCAAATCTGTGAAGTTCAGACCTGAACTCAGAACATGGTTAGCTTAGGTTGGTATAATGACTGGAAGCAGCTAACAGCAGCTAGCCACGTGAACATGCCTGTAGATTTAAGGCAGACATATATCATATATACATTGTGTGTTGTGTTTATTTAACCCAAACATGAATAGAAATGTAATAGTTTGTGCTGGAACCTCAGTATTCCTCAACACAGATAGGTTTCTCCAGCCATGCAGCACTAAGCTACCAGACACAGTCCAGGTTTTAGTTTTGGGCTCAAACTTGCAGCCTCACCTTCACAATAATGCAGTATTCACACAGTGTTAGCAGAACTGGAAGAACGTTTGTTTTCAGATGTTTCATGATTCCAAGATGTTAGCCCAAATGTTAGCCTTACTAGCTTAAATTAGCTACTTTTGTTGTGTCCCATGTTTGTTGTGATTTGTCAACTTGTGAAACCACATCCACACTGTGCACAGCTCCTTTACGTCAGCTACATTGATTGTATTAGTGTTAATTGAATTGAATTTACAGTAGATGTAACTTGCCGCCATTTTGCTTAGGTCTTTGGTTAAACAAAGGAGACACAACATGTTCCTTTGTCAGATTTAGAGGTGTTGTTAGCTAGCTGTTTCCCCTGCTTCCATTCTTAATGCTAAGCTAGGCTAACCACATCCTGACTCCATCTCTGTATTCAACACACATCCTCTCACCAGACTGTAATACATTTCCCAAAATGTTGGACTAACCCTTTAAATTATTCAGTACATTGAACAACATCAAACAACTCACTTGTGATATGACTTCATATCTCATCTCAAATGATCCGGTAATTGTTGAGTGACACAGGACTTTAAAGTAAAATGTTACCAAAGGTATGTATTTGTAAAAAAAATTACATTAGATGAAAATGCTCAATGAATTCTCATTATGCAAAGTTTCATTTGAAAAACTTCACTTTTACTTTTTCTCGTACTCAGACGGACGTTTCTACACATTTCTCTTCTGCCTTTTTTCATATCTGTGATTAGAGAGAACATTACAGAACTGAAGCACTGCCCAGCGCCTCCAAGAGGTCACGCCTGGCACTGAACCTGAGCGAGCCTGTCCAGACACATTAAAGGACAGTACCAGTGCCAGTTTACATTTCTGCCCACCATTTTCCAAAGCATGCTGCAAGTGGTTCATCAAGTTACAGACGAGAATCTCCGAACAAGGAAGTGGAAGGTTCCTGGAGGAACTATGTCATTTGGTCATTGCGATAGTGAAAATGGAGACTTTCTTTTAATTTAATTTAATTTTGTTTTATTTTGTTTTAATTGATTTTATCAATTCTTTATCAAAGAAAACAAAAACTTTTGTCTGCCTGTGCAGTTGTAAAATTACAGATACAATTCAACAAATATAGAGAATCAATTTGATTTATGTGATTATGTTTACACTGATTTCCAGACATTTTCCATTCATTACGATTTTAATAGATCTATCAAGGAAATATCTCTGGAAATTAAAACTTCAGTCAATCTATGTTAAAAAGTAGTAATAAATAACTGGGTATTTGCTATGTGCACTGTCTTAGAACATTGTCTCTATTTCCACACTATTACCAAATTACATGTTCCTCTCCATATAATGTCCTTGGAAATTATATTTTCTTTTTTCTGTTTTATATTCTTTTTTTTATAGGAACCACAGGTTGAAACTTCAAACAGAAGGTTGACTTAAAAAGTTGACACATTGGGACATAAAAACTAAAACAGTGAATGAATTAAATGAATATCAGAAAGAACAAGTGTGAAATAAAGAAATATACCTAGTTGATTTACAGAGGCTTCAGAAAGTAGACAGACCCCATCGTCTTGCACTTTATTGTGTTTTTGAGATTTTGAGATTTTATTTCAGATCGATAAAATTACCATTCTTGCATAAGTCTACACTCACTAACCCATAATGACTCTTTGCGGAGTCCAGACAAACTGAGGAACCAGGTGAGAAGAACCTTGGTCAGGGAGGAGACCAAGAGCCCAGCAGCAGGGACAGGGGGAGTGGTCAGATCATCATCATGAAGGATGAATGAAGCCAAATACAGAGAGTTCCTTGAAGCACCAAACCACAGACTTGAGATTGACCAAAAAGTCCAGATTTAAACCCCACAGAACATCTGTGGAGGGAGATCAACTTGCCAGATCCAGGTGTTCAGAGCTTGTAGAGACTGACGCTGTACCTGCTGCTGAAGGGGGTTCTACAAAGAACTGGATCAAGGGTCTGAAGACCTATTGACTAAATGAGAGATTTCAATTCTTGATTTTTAATTAATTACCAAATATGTCTAAAAACAAAGTGTGCAAACAATCTGAATACCTTCTGAGGCCACTGTATATATTATATATTATCATATGGTGAAATGAATGGAAACCAACACCTGCCTGGAAGGTAGAAAACAGACTCAGAAATCTACTGTTGTTATGCTTTGGAAATGGATGGTGGCAATGTAAAGTAAATATGATCCATTTTAAATGGGCTGAATTTTAAACATGCTGGTTTGGTCATTTAAACAAATCATAAGTGCTCTTTGTCACCCATTTATTTATTGTCTTAAAAGTAGTAAGAATTTAGTGTTTATACTTATGGCAATCATGTATTTAGCTACACTGTCCTTGTATTATAGAGAAGACAAACATCCCTACTGAAAGTATTTGGTATAGTATGTTGGTGTGAGACACCCACCTTTTCAAATTCACAAATCATATGTAAATCTGTTCAAACACAAAGCAACATGATCAGCTCCTACGTATGAATCAGCCTCCCTGATCCTGTGCTGTATGAAGTTCAGAGCTCCAAACAAACACACTGGCACGTTATTGATTTAGGGAGATGCCAAATTCATATGCTGTTGAAAAGTCGATAGTGAGGCACGTGGCAGGGGTGAGTGCTGCCGCTGCCGCCACCCTGCCCAGCGCTCTGCTGCACCGTCAGCGCGCGTCAGGCTGGAGCACAGGGTGATCAAACTGGAATTTGAAACTGCAGTTGACAATATTTCATTGCACTTGATTTTTCAAAAAGTAAAAAAAAAAGAAAATTGGTTGATGACCCTTTAAATACAGAGCTGCTATTTCCCTGTGTGGTTTTTGTAAATGGATCAGTAGATAGTGGCAGCTTGACTGTGCTGGTCTCATGATAAACACAGGACACTGTTAGCCAATGATAATCTAATTAGAATGTACTAAATGCTCAGAGTACACTGAAGAACACTGCTCAGCTGATTTTCATACACTTTAATTTCTTAATGTGAACTTGTTAATTTATTTATTTGGGCTCTTGTTTGGGGTTGGTGTTTGGGATGGGTGGGGGGCGAGGGGGGAGGGGTTGTAGAGGAAATTGCATAGATGTAAAATGTAGGTCGCTACCCTTTCTTAGAATGAACTTGTTGATGGTTGTATTTTGTTATTGTTGACAACTTCATGAAAAAAATAAGTCTTGATTTACAAGTCACACGTACTTAAGTTGTAATATTTTAACTTAAAGGGGAGTGAGTGTGTTTACAATTTTGTGTATTACCTGTTCTTCTTGTTTTGTAAAGATATAATTAAGATCTGAGAATTAATTTGAATAGACGAGCTGATGAAGCTGTTTTTTTTTATATACATAAGTTAAAAGTGTTGATGACTTTGGGAGAAAAATAGGAATCTGACAAGTGCAGCTACAATTTCTTGCCTTAGAGGTTACAGAGGCCAAACTATCCAGTAAAGGAACAAAGGATTTTATTCAACAGGAAGTACACTGGGCATGGCCCTCTGACCCCGGCTGTTAGAGCAACAGTTTATTTCTGACTTTTTGTTTCACAAAGTACATGTCTGCTTATGGAAATCTGGAGACCCAAGGTGGTCAATATTAAATAAATAAATGAAATGTTATGAAATATATAAATAATAATATCAGTATATAATCAGGCAAAATATGTAATATAACCATGAAACTATCCGACAATTACACAGAATTTTAGAACTTTTTGAAAAAAAACAAAACAAATTACATTGTATTATTTTACTTTCATGGCTACATCATATATTTTTTATATATTTATTTATTTATTTTACTATTGGCCACTGTGGGTCTCCATATGGGGTATATCATAAAAGAGGACCAACTGTTTAAAAGATAAATTAAATGTATTTGTTGTAATTAATTAGTTGCATTTCTGTAATTAAGCTAAAAAAAAAAAGAAGCTACCCTTGAGTAAACATCAAAATATCAAAATGAGGCATCACATCATTTTGTAGCTTTTAATCCGTTCTACACAAAACATTATGGAGGACCAGGGGTGTCACAGGAAAAGTAAAGCATTTCCTTAATTTCATATTTTAACAGGCATTAAAAATGGGAATCGCTAAAAGAAGATGATAGAATTTGCAAAACTTTCAACAAGCATTTTAAAAATGCTACTTTTACTTTTCCTGTGACATCACTGTTCCTCCATAAAATAGCAACAACAACAAAAAACGTCAACTGATGAAAATGTGATATCAGAACATCCATTTGCTGTTGTTTTCTTGTGCTTTGTGCAGAACACAACACAGGAAAAAGTGCCACGAAATGATTCTGTGCCTCATTTTGACTTAAACACGTTCCCTCCCTGTTCTCTTCATGTTATGATGCAAATGAAACACATGCTCTTTTTCTAACGGAACGCTGCACGTCAGAGATGTGGAAAAAGAAAGAGAAGTCGGCCTACAAAAAGGACGCTGCACAATATTCCTCATTAATGGGACGAATGGACCAAAGATGTCAAATTTGAGGATACATTTTTTGAACAAAGTCTGACATTGATACTGAAATTATGATCTTTTTCTTCTTCCTTATACACACAACAGCAACTTTATCTGTGTCTAGCAGTATTAGTTGGCTAGTTAGCATGGAGCATGTGTAGCACCAGTGCAATTTTAAATTCAAAATGGTGTTAATAGAATTTAAAGGCTTGTTTTAGTCCGACGTCTGCAAATTCAATACACTTTTTTATCGCTGCTGATCAGTCTTTAAAGCACACTCTGGACCTCTGATGTTCAGATGGTTTCATTTCATCTCAGTACAACAATCAACCCGGACACTTGAACCTTGCTTTAGTCGGGAAACAGAGTGACGTTATTGTTGTGTGGCAGTGCAATGCAGAATGCAACTGCATCACCATGCCACAAAAACAAAACTCTGACCATGTTCACAGTAACACCAGCAGGTTTTCAGTCTCTGTGAGTTGATTAGCAGACTCATTAAGCTGTGTGGACGACATTCAAAAACCGTCAGCAGCAGTAATGTAAGTACTGAAAAAAAAAAACACTGGTATGGTCCTTTAATTGCATTTTGGAAGTGATGTGTTTGGTTAGTGTCATATTGTATTTGTAACAGGTTGTTGTGTGCACCATGTGTTCAAACCAGGTGATGCCTTCAGTTGATTGGAGGAAAATCCTGCACTCTTGAGCCACTGTAGATTATGACTGAGAACCAGGCTGTCTACACTGTATGCTGCTATCATCAGATTAGCCGTGTCAACAAACTTGGGACTGACCTGCTCGTCTAGTCGACTGATCAGAGATTCTTCAATAGGATGTTTTAGTTTCCAACTTTCTAACATCTCTGAATGCAGCGTTGATCTCGGTCCAACGGTCATGGTTTAAAGTTTGAGCAGTGGTCATCAGGGAGGGGATGTTATCACCTTGGAATCAAATGCCTTCAATTTGCATTTACACAACATGGCAGCATCTGAAAAAGGAAGCACTTATTTAATCCAATCTGTTTACAGAAATTGTCAGGGCCACTTCTCACATCTCAGATTGTGATTGAGTTTTTTTTTTTTTTCTTTTTTGAACCTCTGTTGAACAGACTCTTAACACTTATCTACCTGGATGATTCAGTATACCTCTTTTTATGGGTAAGGACTGTATGATAGACATGTAGAAAGTTTCTGTGGCGTTGTTTCTAACTTTTTACAGTGGTTACGTCATTGTATTTGTAGATTTTGGTGAGCCATTTTTCATGTGTTCTTTTTTTGAGTACCTGCAACATGACTGTTATATGCAGATTCAGCATTTTTGATTTCCTTTTTTTAACTTTGAATGTTCAAATGACCTGTTTTCTTTAGATTTTCTTTGTAAATATTGTGCAACATGTCATGTTTTGTTCATTTGATATGAAAAATTAAAGAAAAAAAACAGCATTTTGTCGAGGCAATTTTTGTTGAAATAAAACAAAAAGCATGAGAAGTCTCTGGTTTGGTGTTGGTGTGTGGATTCTGATGAAAGATCATGTTGAAAAAAAATTGTTGCTGTTTTGTTAAGAAGCATTTAATCTGAATATAATATAAAGTATCATTGAAATGACTGTATATAAATGACTATACAGAGATACACACATGTTCTAATCAAGTCTTTGACTTAGAAAATGTACTTTAAATTAACAAAGTCCATGTTACACAAGCAAACAGACGTGACGAGAACGCTCTCTAATCCAGTGTTGTCTCTGCAAAATCTTAATAATTCAGCCAACACATGGAACAACATCCACATTGTTTAAAAAGTTACAATCCCTTGGTATTTGTAGCCACATGGAGGCGCTCTAAGGTGCTTCAAATCCGCAACAAACTGGACTTTGGCTGTCTCATCATGGCCGACTATTTGTCTGGTTTTGGCCCCATGTGACTTGAGCAATGGATCAATGTTGATGGATGGATCACTGATACAGCTTCTCCCCTGCTGGTGTCCCAGCTGTGCTCTCATGGACATGATGTTAGCCCCGTCTCTTCACTTCTTCATGATGGAGGAGATATCCAGAAACATACTCTGAGAAAGACAAGAACACATTAAACACACATTGTATACCTGGAATTCATGAAGTAAGCATCTTTCACTATTTGTCCAATGTCACTGCTCCATTAGTTACCTAACACTCATCATTTCTGTGACCCTAAAGGTGTACGTTCACATGAGGGAACAACATGAAGAAGTAGAATGGCACCCAGTAGAGCGCAAACCTTTGCCAAGCCCAAACCTTTTCTTATCTGGATACAGACTATTATCCTGATCTAAACTAAATTGTACAAAGTCAGAGATCTCAACACAATAAATATGTATATACATCAAGATCAAAACATGATTTGTCGCAATGTCAAGGAAAGTAATTCCTAAAACATTCCTGGATCTGCCCTGTGATTCGGATCCACACCAAAATTTTAACGGGTTCCTTCCTGGCCCATGTCCCATTCCTCCACCAAGTTTGGTGCAAATAGGTTCTCTATTTTTATCATAATCCTGCCATAAACAAGCAAACAAAGAAGCGGACAGACACAGGTGAAATAATAACCTCCTTGGTGTTGGTAATGATGAATAAATCCTTTATTGGTGATCTTACATGAGTGGTTGAGGCTTCAATGTGTGTTGAGTGTAGCTAAATTTGGATTATTGGCAAACACTGCACAGCAACAGGTATTGCTATTTATGTAGCATCAGAATTATCACACACATATGAACACTGGCCAGAGGTCATCAAACACACTACAAGTCTCAGTCGTGGTGACTACATTACTACTAAAACGCAACACTTTTTAACATATGCTGTTGTTCGTTGTGTCAGAAGTTTCATTTGGATCTTAACCGACCGCTCCATGATCTCGTCTGTTTTCTGCATTTTATAGTTAATAGGCTGCTAACTGGAAATTTTGCACAATCCCAGGGCAGGCTAACTGTTAGCTTCACCCAAATTTAATTTCAAATGTCACGCTGATCATTTCTGACGTGAATCATAAAACATAAACTGTAAACTGTCGTAGCGACATGAGTAGTCAGAGACGCCAAAGATGTTTGAATTTACATACAATATGAGTTGATTTAATATTGAAAACAACACATATACACTACTTGTTAGAAGGCTTTGGGGTCACTCACAGACGGTTTGAGAAACACTGAATTTAAAACATAATATTTTAGCTAATTTCCCCTCTCTATGATGGGCTGTTTTAGATGTATGATGTAACTGATGACATGTGAAGCCTCTGTTTCCGTCTGTACCATGCGACTGCTTTTGATGACAGTTCAAATCATGGAGCAACATTTTACTGTGTGTATAAGACCTCAGAGAGACATTATGCATTTTCATTATTTCTACTTCTGTAACACTGACTGACAGTTTGCGTACGAGTGGCTTGGTCGTATCTGTGATGGATCCACGAAGGAAAAGAAAAGACTTTGATCTTATGTCTCCCAATAACTGGACGGCTCGAGGATCCACTGTAATAATAGGTTGGACTGGAGTTTCTGTGTATCCGAGTTGATGTTCCAAAATCATTTCCCATTATACACTGACTGCTCAGTTTTCACACTTCAGTTAAGGGGAAAGGGTGATCAGGCTTTGTGGTAGCTGCCCCAAAACTTTGGAACAGTTTACCTCTTTCAATTAAGCGTTCCACCTCCGTCAACATTTTTAAGACTAAACTTAAAACCCATGTTTTCTTTGGCTTTTGAGTGTCCCGAAGGTTTTATCTTTATCTTTTATCCCGTATGTTTTTATTTTAAGCTGTTTTCTGTCTGTCTCAGACTATGGCATAGTTGATTATGTCGTGTGTTTTTGTTGTATATTATTGTACAGCACTTTTGTTTAAATGTGCTTCATAATTGAACTTGATTTGATTTGAAAACAGATATTGAATCTAACTGATATTAATGATAGAAGATATTTGATGCCTAGAAAATATGTTGATTGTCTCCACAGTAATTACTATAAAGGTCTGCTTTGAATAAACATTTTCCCTTATGCTGTTTGTATTTGCCTGTTTCACATTGTGGCCAGTAGATGTTGCTCTTTTAACATGAAGCATCAAGAGATTAAACTTTTCTCAAACAACTGCTGGAACAATTCAGTGCTTCACGAAGCTTCGTCTCACTGTCCTTAACATCCATTCATTTCAAGTTTATGGAAGAACGCAATGTGCAGATATGTGAATTATATAATCATAATAATGATTTTTTGAAAGTATAAAACTAAACCTGAAAGCCATGTCGGCTGACATGTGTCATGAAGAAAAGTCATTTGTCAGAGCAGCTGTATTTGCAGACTAATTGATTTATTAACAGAACATAACGTTAGTGTTTAGGCAACATTTTAACATTTAAAGGTAACACAACGTTGTTTCAGATTTCCAAATCTCCACTGTCTATGATGTCCTTTACACACATGCATTAAACGTTGAACTGATACTGTATGTTCAATGCTATATTCTGTTTATTCCATTACATAACAATTTGAGAATGAATTAATAATTAATGTGCACATTTTATTAATTTGAGAACACGATTTCAGCTCTGTATCTATCTGTGTTTATGAAAGAGTAGTTATGATCTGTAAAATGTATATAATATAGAGTCTAATTGTGCATTTAATATATTTTTAATAATTCAAATTATGCTTAAATGTCCTATGACCGTCATGTTAAATGAATAATAAAAACTAGTTTCATTTTTTTGTATTTAACTTAGATCATGTCTTATAATTTACCTATTTCTTGGTTATAATATTTATTTGATTTCATGAACTTATAATAAAATTATTATCTGGGAAACTTTTTGTTTGACTTCTTCAATAACCCACCAACAGATGCTCCATGTTTTAAAGATATATGATATACAGTATATGATAAAGATTATTATGACAGATGAAACGATAGACGAGCTTCATAACTGAACAGTAAATGTCTGCCAACCCTCTAGATGAATGTGGAATGTGATTCAGATACAAAACAATCTCTTCTCTTTACTTGCCATTGACATCCTTCGGCCTCCGGCAGGCGGCATCATGGGCATGTCTCCCTGCAGGGATCCTAGCTCGTCCGACTCCTCTGAGGTATGGAAGGAAGGGCTCGTGGAGCGACTAAAGGAGGACAAGCTCTCAGAGGGTGGCCTGATCATGAAACTGGTCTTTCTGGGGTTAGGGACCAGGGCCTCGCTCCCCATTGACTCCCTTCGCTCGTCCTCATCGAGGTCTGTGATAGCACTTGGCCTGAAGGTGCTACTGGGCAGCAGGGCGTCCAAATGGCTGGGGTGAGGGTGTTCTCCTTCGTGGGTGTCCTCAAGATGGCTGGCTGAACTTTCCTCTGCGTTGGACACAGCTGAGGCCCAGGGCGGATGGTGGGCCACCGTGGCTGCGTGGCCATCTTCATGGGTTTGGGCAGCTTGCATTGCACAGTTCTGGTCAGACCTGGGTGGCATCCTAGGTTGGGGGCAGATATAGCTGGTCTGACTGTGTACCAGATGAGCCAAGCTGTTGTGTCTTGAGGCGTCCTGGTTGGCTTTGAGCCCAGTGTTGTAATGAGGAGGCTTCATGTCCGCCTCTGGAATCACTTTGAAGGTCTGAGTCAAAGGCCCGTTGTGAGGTGATAAATTGCTCATTACACAGAGATGTGGTAAGGACGCCTTCTTCCTGTTCTTGTAAATCACACTGTCGTCTTCTGTGTACCTCTCTCCGTACAGCGTCTGTTTGATTTTCCTGATGCCCAGGTGAGATATTTCCAGGACGTTGAGGAAAAGTGACACACCAGCGATGGCGATCATGAAGACCATGAAAATGGTCTTCTCTGTTGGCCTGGAGATGTAACAGTCTACACTGTTGGGGCAAGGCAGCCTCTCACACTTATAGAGTGGCTCCAGTTGGATACCATAGAGTATATACTGGCCCAGGATGAAGCAGACCTCCACCAGGGAGCGTGTCAGGATATGGATGATATAGGTTCTCAACAGAGAGCCTCTGAGAGGCGCCTTCTTCACCCTCCTCTGCTCGTCCAGCTTCCTCAGCTCCCTCTCCATGCGCTTATGTTCATCCAACGCCAACTCCACCTCGTCCAGCTCCTCCTTCAACTGGGCCCGTCTGCGGTGGCGCTCCTTCTCCAGCGATCGGATGCAGTAGAGGGCGTGGCCCATGTAGACCAGTGAGGGCGCGGACACAAAAATGACCTGCAAGACCCAGAAGCGAATGAGGGAGATGGGGAAGGCACGGTCGTAGCAAACTGCCTTGCAGCCTGGCTGGTCGGTGTTGCAAACAAACTCAGACTGCTCGTCATCCCACACGTCTTCAGCGGCCGCTCCCAGGATCAGCATGCGGAAGATGAAGAGTATGGTAAGCCAGATCTTGCCCACGATGGTGGAATGAATGTGGACCTCTTCTAGGATGCTGCCCAGCAGGTTCCAGTCACCCATGGTCAGCTTCTCACCACTTCACTGCCACATGTCCTCAAACTGTGGAGACACAGCATGCATGGAAAGATTATGAGAACACAGGCCCCTGGGCATAGACAGGTTAAAGGACTTTCACCGCTCGTATATAGGACCCCCAGGCTGAAAGAGACATGAAATGACTACAAACAACGCAAAGACACTCTCTGACTTTATGGTCATTTTGTGTCTTTTAACTGCGCTCTTTGACTTTCAGACAAGAACTAGAGACCACCTTGTGATTGGATCACAACTGCTGTGACATGTTGATGTCCATGTTGGTGGACATCCCATGAGTACTCATTAGTCAGGGTTAGGGTTAGTAGTCATTACTCATTGGCCAGATTACATCCATCTTTGAACTCAGCCTTCAATTTGATTACACACCTGTTAACTTTTGTGACTTATCTTGCAGGTTGTGTTGACAACATTTGTCCACAAACCTATCTCACTGGTAATCCCTTCTACAGTAGGTGTCTCCAGGACCACGTTTTGCCATGATGAGACATGATGAAAACAACACCAGCCCTGCTGTCACAGCTGGTCTTCGACACCATTGCAGTTAGCTTGACCTGGTTTGGATTCCTTCAGTGTCAGTGCTTCAGCAGGTTTTTACCAGCAGCTGAATTATCCACAGAGGTTTCCTCCTCTCCATAACAAACACACCAGGGGATTAAAACCAGTGAAAACACTGAGTAAAACTGTTTTCATGTTAAAAAAATCATCCCTGATTGGCTGTGAGCTGAACTGCTGTTAATGTTTACTCAGCTCTTTTGTCTGATAACTTCAGATCCAGACATCCGATGACTAAAATCCTTCATCTGGTTCAAATATATAGATAAAACCATCCAAGATCTAAAATTGTTGAACTTCTGTCAGACAAACACAACACTGACACATGATCATAGAGGATATGATGTCATTGACAAGCGACCAATGAAATACAAGAGAACTGTTGAAAACTAGCTGTTTTTAGACATTTTAATGTGGAAAAGAAAAAGATTATAACTTTATATAAATCCCCAGTTAACCTTTACAGAATAATGTATAATGAAAACAATCAAACTGACAATGTGTCTTTATACTGACTGACCTCTCTACACAGTCTGTGGCTGTCACTCTCAATCCCATTGCTTCCTATGGAAGATGTAAATCTTGCACCAAACTTGGTGGAGGGATGGGACATGGACCAGCGAACAACCCATTAAATTCTGGGGTAGATCTGGGTCATCTACTCTGAATTTGAGTTTTTTTCCTCTGAAGTCTGGTGTATGTTGTTTGACATTGAACCTGGAGGAGGTCTGTGGTCTCTGAGGACCTTTCTGGTTGGGGACTGTTTTAAGGGGGGATTAATCCACATTTGGTGCTGTAGTGAGTATCTCTGGCAGTAAGACAGGGGTATGTGGGATCGAGTCAAAACAAACTAGAGCTTGTCACATCAGGTGTGGCAGGCAACATGTAGATATCTGAACAAATATTGCCCTAAGACAGAAAATAAAGAATTTGAAATGTGATCTGAGAAAAATGAAGAGAAAATGGAACAAAGCAGTTTGATTTAAATACAGGGCTTAGGCTTTACTATACATCAGTATATCACAGCGGCTGCTGTCATAGAACATCATTACTCAGTCAATGGTGCACCTTCAGAAGTCACCTCTGGATGACATCATCACTACAGTCTAGGGCTTAAAGACACCTGTTTGAAAAGAAGATGACTCAACTCCAGTGATTTCATCATGTCACTGATGAAACTGAACCCCAGCTGGTCTTTTTCAAGGCCTTCTATCACTGGAGCTTATGTGTGGTCATCCTATTTTCAAATATGTCACTGCCATGACGGCACTGAATTTCTGGTGTGTGTTCACTGGACAAAATAAAACCAATTCATCTGGAATCATTTCAATCTTTTTACAATCACAAATAAAAGAAAATAAAACATTTACACTTACTATTGAGTCTGTCTGAGAAAACTATTCTACCAGAGTGATTCCTGGACCAGTGTGTTGCACAGCATGACATAACACCAAATGACTCCACTCAGTGAAGTAACCATTTGTCAGTATCACTTACATATCACTGGTATGGGTTCCCTCTTTGCCTCTTGATGCACTTCATCATGTTCAGATAAGCATCCTATGATTTGACAGTGTCTGTAGAGCTACCCCATGGAGGTGTCTGGAGGTCCTCTTGTGCCGGTCCCAAACTCCGGTCCACATCCCTTTGCTCCCCTCCGCCTTTGTTTCTCTGTGTATCTGTGTTGTGTGTGCTGTGGCAGCAGCAGCCTGTGTGTTGCGAGTGCTCTCCCGTGTTACATGCAGAGTTCACAGGATGTGAGCATCGATCGCCTCCCGACGGGACAATGCCCCCCCACCACCCTCCCCTCTCCCACGCCAGCGGTGCCAACTCCAACCAGTGCCATCAATATCACCCTCTCTAACAGAGCGAGGTGATGTTTGTTTATGGCTGGTTTTTCACATAGGTCCGGATCCTGGGGCCCTCAACATAAAGATGTTACTGAGCCAGCGGGGAGGCCTTCATGTTTGAGTTCAGCTCAGTTCACCAATCTAATGTGGATAATGTGGCTTCATTTAACCTGTCGTCTTGCACACAGCTGTTAAACTGATGGGTTGGGGATATTCATGCATGCATGACTGGCTGGCATCCCTGCTGTGTACATTCAATACAGCAAAGTATGAACAAGGACATGGTAAAAGTCTTCATGTGAAAAAAAACTCAGTGGTTTGGCATCATTTGTATTTTTATTATGAATAGAAATTGTGAAAAAGCAACAAATAATTTAATGAACTTTAATGAACCTTTTCTGCTTTTTAATTTCCCAGACGTTCAACATTGGTAAATACACTGAGAGACTGAGATGTGAAGATTGACATCAATCTCAGAGACTGTCCTGTAAAACACGAGCTTATAGGTCGTCTGTGCAGCAGGTTATTATGATAGCCTATAGATACGTTTTGTTGCTAGGCGACATCTAGTGGTCATAGTAATTACGACAGGAGCAAAGGGAAAAGTGCGTTGACGTCGTCTAAAGAAAGACAAAGTCCAGGTCAGGAGGAGGTTGTGGTGGATGGATGAATATGACACAGGAGAGTCGTGTTTGATTCCCATGTGAAACCAGCTATTGTTTCTATTATCCATGACTTTTCAACAAAGTTAACTATGTTGTTATTTTTGTAACCATGACAACAAAGATTGTCTAATGTTAAGGAAGTACTTATTTTAACCAAAATCCTAATCCTAAACCTAACCAAGCTATGAATGTTATTATAGCACCTATGGCGATGAAGGTAGCTACACCGCTCCCGGTAGAGTCTGTGTGTTTAATATTATAACCATGACAACCAAGGTTTGGTACACCTATTGCAGTAGGGGCGCTTAATTCAGGAGACACTCCAATGGGTCGTATCAGAGGGTTGAAAAAAACTACCTGATTGGTTGTTCTGGTTGGAGGAGCTGTTGCAATCTCATGTGTGTATGTTAGGTACCAAGATGGAGTCAGGACATTGTTAGACATTGTCAGACAGCATCTACTAACATCTCTGAAGCTCATTATTTGTCAGGCTGTCGAGCTGTGTCTTAATAAATAACAAAGGATGGGTTTAGAAATGGATAAAACTCTAGAGGCTGTATTACTGACAAAAATCAACTGAACAACAGAGAAGAAAAAAATAAAGATGAAGAGCAAGAGGAAACAAATCTTTAATTTGCCTGATTTTGAAAGTATTCTAGGAAAGATCCCCACACCTTCAGGAACTTTTTGTTTGAGTAATGAACTGAATAGTGGATCATTTAGAGGCTTAGACAGGACAGCCACTGAGCATGGGTTCAAAGTTAAAATAGAGGTTTGGAAAACATCTCATCCAGTATTTTCCCAGGCTAGGACAGTCAGGAACAATGGGAATAAGGGAGGCTTCGCCTCTTTTATATTTGTTGCAACAAGGTTTCACATCTGGATAAATATGAGAAAGTTGGGCTTTGGACACATGGGCCCTATGTACAACTTTTAACCGTGACAATGACTCAAGATTTTAAGAAGAGATTTTCAAATCTAAATTTGAATGAAACCTTTTAAAATTATGATTTTTAAATGTTATTAAAGTCCCACAACCATAATATAACACCATGGCGAACATGTTAGCAACTATAAACACAGTCCTTCTGTTTTAAATGTCTTCACACTGCTAGAGCTTGGGTCATTTTCCATACACTTTGCTGCAGTACAGACATTCAGGTTCAGTTATGTGTGTGATACTGAGTAGTTTAGATTAGAGTACACTGCTGTTTGTCAAAAACAATGACATGACACAGGCGTGTGTTTTTAGCATATTGAATGCTGACCCTATCCTGCTCAGGGAGGCCCATGTGCCCCCTCCCTCAGTCCAGAGTAAAGCAATAGCACATATTACTGGCTTGATTTGAGAGCCCTGGTGCTTGGCTGCATAAAATGACCAGCTGTGCCTAGAGGGCCTTTAATTAGGTTTCCATCGCGCTCTGACAGAGTCAATGTAGCATTGATTTGATTTTCCCTCCAGAAGCTGCTGCTGTGGTCGCTGAGGCCAAATGCCAGATGTCACACCAGGATCATTGGGTTACACAACCAACGGCTGCTTCATCAGAAGCTCCGCCCGACAAACTGACTGACAGCTGAGCAGCGAGGGCGGAACTTTGTCCGATCTGTCTGTTTGTTGTTGAACACTGGGCTTAAACTCACCCACGTGTTGGTCTTCATATCTTTGTGAGGACTCTGAATGCACTTAGTAACCCCAACTTATAAAGAACCTAATTCAAGTATTGTAGCTGCCATTTTAAGGAATTCATACTTCACTAATTCAGAGGTTAAATTACTTATTACTTATTGTTGTTACTTATCTATTTATTTAACAGCTAGTTACCACTTGGAAATTTGGATTTCACATGCAAAATGAATTATATAAAACTTCCTGACTGTACAGAATTATTGGGTTTTAAAAGTAAAGTTTTTAATTTAATTGCAATTAGCTCCATCTCAACAACTTTACCACAAAAATGCTTCTTACAAAGTAATGCATCAGTAAGCTAGTGATCCAATGACTGTAATCTACTAATAAAACTGCTTTTGGTATTTTGCCTTTATTTGACAGCAGACAATTTAGAGAGAAGCAGAAAACAGGATGAGACAGCGGGGGAGGACATGTAACAAAGATCCTCGGCCACAATCAAACAGTAGATATTTTAGTTACAGTCCAGACTGCAGGTGTTCAGGGACAGTTATGGACAGTTGCACTGTTTTTTGTTGTTCAGGCTCATTCAGCATATTTAATGTGAAATAAAATAAAATGGAGACAAGAATAAATTGCCAAATCCCAGCTTTAACATACAATACCTGAAGTTTAGGGGTTCAAGAATAAGTGAACAAATACAAATGAAGTAAAAAGCAGCTCAGTCAGACTGAGATCAGGTGACTGACCCTGACATTGTCCTGCTCAATGATGAAACATCGTCCAGTGAGTTTTGATGCATTTGACTGAATCGGAGCCACAGACTGCTCCTGTATACTTCTGTATTTATCCTCTTACTTCCATCAGCAGTGAAAGCATCAATAAATGAGAGTGTGCCAGTTCCATTGGCAGCCATCCATGCTCGAGCCATAACAGACCCACCATGTTTGATAGATGAGGTGGAGGCTTTGGGTCATGAACTGTCTGTTTTTCTCCACACTTTCCTCTTCCCATCATTTTGACAGAGGCTGATTTTTGTTTCATCACTCCACAGAACTATGCTCCAGTACTACCAGTCTCTTTCTGTATATTTTTGCAAACTGGTCTTTCTGTTTTTGAGGTTTACCACGAGTTTGTATCTTGTGGTGAGTTTATGGTCATCAAGTCTCTTGATTGATGACATGAAATGTCCACCAACATCCTAGAGAGTGTTCTTGTTTTACTGCGCAGTCATAAAGGGGTTTCTCACCATGCAAATTATTTTTCAGCCAAGACTTGTCGGTCGACCAGGTCACTTCCTGTGAACACTTGCTTTATTAAAATGTACTGTTGATTTTTGCAAACCAAACTCATCATAATCCCCTTAAATTGAATGGTCACCTCTTTGCTCCTCATACTGAAAGACAACTCCATATCATTCTAGATGGCAATTCTCAACTTTCAATCAACTCTGAGTTGCGTGTGAGCTCTTGTGTTTGCTTATGTTGAAATGAGTCACAGCTGCTCAATTAAAAAATAGTAGCCGGGTGTTCAGTTATTTTTAAACCTTTGCAACTTCTGTACAATGTATTAAAAGGACTATATCACCCTCCTGTCAAGCTGAATGTGCAGAGAACCAATGTAACTGTCCAAATGCTTCCGGTCTGGACTATATGTAGAATGCACCTTAATCATTAGGCTGTAAAGGTAACCCTATATTTTTGTTTTCAATACTAAAAGTATATTTTTCTAATAATACTTTTGGTACCAAGTAGAAAAAAGGAAAGATTTTGAATAAAAATAAACAACTATGAGGTACAAAAAAACAACTCTTACCGCACTACCGGATGGCAAACTGTAAAACAGATAGAAAGGTTCATTTTGCCAAAAAAATATGATTGTTCATATTCATTGTTATGGGACCTCTAGCAGCCATTTAATTATGACGAGAGCAAAGGAGGAAGTCAGGATTGTGATTTGACTATTAAACAATAGAGGAAAATCAATAACTAGATTTAGCTTTAGCTTTATCTACGGCTAGCCACAGCTATCTCACAAACTAGGTTTCACTTGATATATTCATCTGATCATAAGTCCGACAGTTCACAGATTTACAAAACCAGAATGCAGTAACTACAGCCAAGGTGCAGATACTACGATTTGGCTTGGCTTTTGGTAGTTACTGCAAATTTAACAAGCTATTTTAATGAAAAACACTTCATGAACCATTTCTATGGCATTATGGCTTTATATGATAAAACAGATGTGGTATCTGTGGTATCAACATTCTGTTGACAGTTGACTTATTGGTTCTTTGTCTCTTATTTCCTGTTTTATTTTGAAGTTTCTTACCTTGTGTGTCTGGATGTTTTGTTGAGTTTTGTAGACTGGATTTTCTGAGTTTTGTTTTATTGACCCTTTTACATCATCTGTCCTTTTTGTTTATGAAATTACCTTTTTTCATCACCTTTGTGTTGATGTACATTTGGGTCCTTTAATCCTTAAAATATACCAGTTCAATCATCAGTCCAACACCCACAAACTTCAGTCTGTGCATTCACATGTAGTACACTGAATACATAGTATACTCACTGGTGTAGGTTGTCCTAAATCAAACACTGCTGTTGTGCACTCACTGAAAATGAGGATTGCAACATGTGACTGCGATTGCTGCTCACCTGACAGCTGCTTTGCTCACTTGACTTGCAAATGAACGTTTTACTTTCCTGTGTGTGCCCCCTGTGTCATCCTCACTGTCAAGTTTGAAAATACGTTGGTGGTCCAACCCCTTTGGCTATGAAGCCAAGATGGCGACCGTTGAGGGTTTTAAGTGTCCATCGTGTAAGGGCTCTGGCTGAGTGGCTAAGGCACCAAACTGAGACAAAATCCAGATATGCAGTCCAGGTGTATTTATTTAGCAGTGACAACTGACATTCCCATGCAGAAATATGTACAGTGCAGGCCTGGCCAAAAATAAAAATATATATAAAAAAAGAGAAAAGAAAAAACAAGAAAAACTTGCCTCTGCACTGCATTGCCCCTTTTACTCTGGGCCCTTGCAGTTTCATTTTGCTGGCTTGTCTCTGTTTCAGGTATAATGATAATTGACTCACCAGGATATCCAGCCTCCTCCTTTATATCAGCTGGGTCCTACTAAGTGACATTAATTATTATCTATTAATCAATTTTCCCACAGGAGATTAACACCTGATCAACACATGTACTCTAAAGTTACAAAACATACTGAAACAAATTTGTAAATAAATATTCATTTCAAGGCAATTACAATAGCACTACTTACTATAAAACACATCAACACCCCTCCAGCTCTACCATACTTGGTCACTTCCCCTGGAAACCCCTGTTCATAAGCCAGTGGCAGCCTCCTGTGTGGCTTTGGCAGTTCCAGGTCTAAACAGAGAGGCATAAGTACAGCAGAGACCAAACAGGTGATTAACAATTGATTTCCCTTAATTTAACATTTTAAACAATAAATAAAAAGTGTATCTTTATCTTATTTTAAAATATATAGTGTGTGCTTTTATACTGACTACGCTTGTACTACACACTTCCTGACAGGAACTGGATCATTGGTTACCCATAACACCCTTTACTGTGTAGTTTTGCAGAGAGGATTATGTGTATTTTTGCAGAATCAGAATTTCCTCTTAAAGGTATAGTTCAGGTTATTTGATGTGGGGCTGTGTGAGGTACTCATGAATAGTGGGTACATTTCCCACAGGAGATCCTGGGCAACCCTATGTCAAATAAACATGTTTGGGTGTCATCAAGGTAATGCAATATGTGACAAAGTGCTGTCCCATTCCTATTTACACCATTTGCAGTCCTCACCTTATCACGTACCAGGTGACATCAAGGATTCATGGCTTAGGCCTTAGGTGGGACATTGGGATTTTGGGATTGAGCTCCTCTCTACTACACTCAACACAGACACACTGAGGAATCAGAAGACCAAAACCAGACTCCAAACCCAGGATACAGAGGTTCAGTGAATGTGGTGTTGTAGGTGTGGAGGTGGATCTGTGAGTCAGAGGAGACTCTGCAGAAGGACAGAGTGCCAGCAGGACAGTCCACATACACTGCTGCTCTGTCAGAGACAGAGGAGGAGGAGGAGGAGGAGGAGGAGGGTATGGCTGTTTGTACATTATTGTGCCAGACAGAATAATCATGCTCATCAGAGCAGTAAAGACTGAAGGACTGATCATTCCTTCCAAACACACAGTCTTTACGTTTTCCCCTCCTGCTGATTCCTCTGTAACTCACTGATATATAAACATCTCCTCTCCACTCGACCTCCCAGTAACAGCGACCAGTCAGACCAGTTGTACACAGTAACTGAGGCCAGTGGTCAAATCTGTCTGGATGATCAGGATACGGCTGCTTCTCTGTCATATATGTCACCTTCCTGTTGTTGTCAGACAGTTCGAGCTTTGCGTTCACTGTGTTTAAGTTGAATGTGAGTTCACAGGAATCTAATGGAGAGAAGTAGACAACTGCAGTTGTTGATCTATCTGATAAGTTATTGAAAGTTTGATGATGACACATGACATCAGTGATCTGAATGAGTGATGTGACAGTTTGAAGGTGGTTGAATGTGCTGCTTTGTTTTAATGAATCAAATCAAAAACACACTTACACTTCCTCAGGCCTGGTGTCAACCATTGGACTCCATCAGGTTCCAACCTGAAAGGAGGAGGGAGGTCAGACCAGCACATTCTCTTTCAGCATGCAGACATGGACATTACATGGCTTTTAAACACAGATTGTTTTATTATTCTGTTCAAACGTAGTCTTGTATGTATGGATTTAAGTTCACCACAAAGATGAAGGAGGGAACTGGAGTCTTTATCTTGTAATTATACGGAGCAGAGAGGCAACATGGAGAAAATATTTCATCATGTGTTCTTCATTTGATATCAGTTCTGATGTGAGACACACACTTTCAGTCTCTTGCTCTAAAGCTGCACAAACAAATGTCACAGTAAATAAAATGAAGACACAAAGTGGCTCCTGAATGAAAACTATACAGTAGCTGTAGGTTCACTAGACTTCCTCTGTTCACAGGACAATGAGTGAACCTAAACACACACACACACACACACACACACACACACACACACACACACACACACAGACTCACACACACACACACACACACACACACACTTGCAGAGACCGTGGGAGTCATTTGGCAGGAACAAGAAGTATAGCTGGGTGTCATCTACATAACAGAGAAGCCATGCGAGTAGATAATCGGATCCAAGGACGTGGTGTATTTGCAAAGAGAATGGTAGTACCAACTCTTGGGGCACCGCTGTGTGGAGGGGATGGGATAAAGATGTTTGTCCTTGTCATGAGACACTGAAAGAGCACCCAGTGAGATAGGATTCAAACCAGAAATAAAAAAAAGCGCTTTGCCCGGAGATGCGATGGTTCACTGTATCAAAGACTGCTGTAAAGGCTGCTGATAGGTCCAACAAGAACAGAACCAAGGACTGAGTTGCAGCTCAAGCTGCCCTTTGGACTTCAGTCACAGACAACAGAGCTGTCAAGGAGATTCTTCTGTAATAATAATTCTGTGTCCTGCTTAAAAACCATCCTTTCTATACACTTAGATAAGAATGGAAGTAGTGAGACTATTGAGCAGGATCAAGTGGGGGCTTTTTGAGCAGAAGAGTTACTTGAGCATGTTTGAATACAGTTGGAAATGTTCCCAAAGCCAGTGAAGCATTTATTACATTTGTGACTGCTGATACAATGGAGGGAGATGTGGTTTGTGGGAATGGGGTCCAATGAACATGTAGTAGGACGGCTACTGGACAGACGTTTTGACACATTGTTCTCAGTGAGAGAGTTGAATGAGGAGAAAGATGTGTTCTTGGCCTGAGGAGGCCGGGATGGACATGTGGTTGGACAACTACATGTTACACGTTTTGGAGCCTTAGATTCAGCTGGAGAGCTGAGTAAGGAGGGTAGTGAGGTACTGACCAGAAGAGGCCGACAAGGACATGAGAAAAATGTGGAGTGCCCTTAACGGGTGGAGACCGGTTGTCACTGAGAAGTTCAGGGAGTTGTGAGAGGTGAGCACTGAGGAAAAGTGGGTGGGAGACAAGTTGTGGCAGAATGAAACCAGAGGTGGTGGGATGGATGGAAGATCTGGGAGAAAAATAGCGAAGCAATTGAAATAGTGGTCAGAGATGTGCAGAGGTGTGACTGTTCTGCAGTTCCATTGTTAGGAGACAACATTTGAGTGAATGAGCATTTGTTGGAAGTTAGACTACATGTTAACCAGTCACTTCTGAGCCATTTCCAATTTCTGCTGCTCTGCTGCTGCTTAAATCCTGATTTTATAACAATGAAGTTGTCTGACAAATTCACTAAACACAAAAATTCAAGACAAAAGCTGTGCTGTGATTTCAGCGGTATTTACTTTTAAATTATCACTCAGAAAGAAAGTTAGAAGTAACAGAATATCTAATATCTTACACCTTATATTGCCTCACACACAGTGCACTGCCTACATGTGCACCTCATTCACATCTATATCCGCTGCAGTGTGAACTGTGTGCAGTGCTGGCGACTCTTTGGAAAGCAGCTAAGGTTTGTCCAAAAAGCTGCGAGATATGTTATGTGTTTTTTTAAAAAGGGGTGAAGGCGTCTAAAAGTCACTATATCTAGAAAGGAAGTTGCTAATGAGGCAACACTGTCTGAGACACGGCTTCTGACACAAGAAACAAGGTGGACAGAGGGGGACGGGTGGACCAGCCTTGTGAGATATGTGATTGGGCCAGCCTGGTATCTCTATAGAAAATGAACCAATGGCTGGGCCTGTTATATGGGTCTGTTGTTGCTGATTTTTTTCCCCGCTGTAGCAATCTTTGTCTGCTATGCCAGATTAATGGTCTAGCCCTGTGTGTGTGTGCACATGTGTGTGTGTGTATGTATTTGTGTCAGGGTTTCTGCAGGCTCCCCAATTTAAATCTAAGACTTTTTAAGGTTCTGTAACAAGATTTTAAACAATAATATAGCAGCAAACAACTATTTTCTATATTAAGATAAAGTGGAGTAATGGTGGCCTGAGCAGAGAACTAAGTCACAGAGTGCCTCTGTGTGTGTTGTAATCTGACTTTCTCTGGTCTTTGTTTTGGTAGCCAGGACAGTGTTGCGTGCATGTAAGTGCATGTTAAACTGTTGGTCTGACCCACGTTCATAAACACACAGGCACGGCCCACAGGTGAGATGGCACGATGAGTGCAGTAAGAGGCGTTCAAGTGAACGACCCTCTAGAATTTCCTCCACTGAAGAAACCACATTTTCATCTAAAAAGGCCTCAGACAAAAAAAAGAGATGAGACCAGAGCACAAGTGGACTGAACTGGACATGATGACTCAAATCCTGGTCAGCTGGTGGACCTTCAAAACATCCAAAAAGTTTTAAAAGTTTTTACCAGCTCCATAAGTGTCATTCATCTGGCTGGTCCGAATGGATAAGTCAAAGACTTTATTTCTTTCCCAGTCCAACCATGGAGCCAATACTAGTCTGCTGAAGGGTCCAGCTTGATTCTGAACTGCTTTTTCTTCTCCTGCATGTGTCAATATCTGGATGGTTCATAATGCTACATGCCTGTTTTCATTAGTGACGGTTACAGTAGACATGATGATAGCTAACTTGCTAATACCTATATTATGAACGTGTTGGGCAAATGTTGCTATCGCTAGCTGACTAACTGTCAGCATTGCTGTGGAGCATATCACAGCAATTCTAGTGTGGGCTAACGGTTGTGGCTGGATTGATTTTAGTTGGCTCTAGTGTTTCCAGAGTAACTTTATTCAGTTGAACGTCTTGTTGTGTGTTTAGTGGCCACTTTCATTGGGCTTCATATCACCTTGCTGACTGAGAATGTGAAGGGAAGGGGGAGTTGTGGTGAACGGAGGTCAGAGGTGTGGCCAATGAAGCATTAGGTTTGGTCTGTTTCTGGTCAGTGATAATTGTTTACAAAACCTTCAAGACCTTTTTTAAACCACTTACAATAAAATTTGAGTGTGAAAGTATGAATGTATTATGGAAAGCCAGCAGGGATGAAATGACCTAGAATTATTTATTATCATTATTATAGTATCACATTTGTTTTCAATACTTCCCAGCAATATGTGCCGATAATTCCTTATGGTAAACTCCATTCAATTAAAAAGGAATCAGGTCAAAGTCCAAAAGAAGCCAGAGAAACTGTAGAGCAAAGTGAAAGAGGCTCAACTCAACATACATGGACTCAGAGAGGAAGTCTGTCAGCCTACAGCTGCTGTATAGTTTTCATTAAGGAGAGACTCTGTGGCTTCATATGATTTGGTTTAAGATTTGTTTGGGCAGTGAGAGACCTTTAAGCGTGAGAGTCTGAAAACAGGTGTTTCATGACAAAAACATTAAATCAAAAATTATTAATTAATATTAATATTAATATATTAATTAATTATTAAATTGTTAACAACAGTGAGTTTTTTTCTGCTTGAAAAAATGTATGTCATAGCTATGATTTACTATCTCCTAAATAAAAAAGCTCTCATAACGACAAGATCAAGATCTCAGACAGGTTGATGTGATTATTGATTATCAGGGATACGATGGTGCAACCTGATTTATTTCTCTTTTATTTCCTCCTTGGTTGGAGACACTGAGAGATTAATGTTTCTGAGCAGTAGGGATGGTATTATTATTGTTGGTGTGTTATTATTAGTGTATCAACACTGAACAGGTCTCTACAGTCTCTGGGATTGTTCTGGTGAAAACACTCTGAGAGCTCAAAGTGACTCTGTTTGTTCAGGGGCAGTTAAACCAGCTGCAGCTGAAAGGTTTCCAAGCTGCTTTGTGCTGATACAACCTGAAATAAAGTCTGATAAAAACATGTATAGAGGCAATAAATATGAAATTCCAGCTCAGGTGACAGAATACACCTGACAACACCTGGTTTCATAACTGTGAGCTCTTTTCTCCTAAATATGACACAGTGAGTCATAATGAGACACTGAAGTTATCATTAGGAAAAAAATCTTCTTTTGTTGATACTGAAGTCAAAACACTTCTGTAGAGATCTGTCATGAGCTGTGACAGAGAAAAGGTTTCAGCTCTTCCTCTATCAGACAGTGTCCGTAGTTGCAGCAGACCTCTCCATACCTGAGAGTGTCCAGTCTCCAGTCTGAATCCTCCAGTCCAGCAGACAGCAGCTTCACCCCTGAGTCTCCTGGATGATTGTAGCTCAGGTCCAGCTCTCTCAGATGGGAGGGGTTGGCACTCAGAGCTGAGGCGAGAGAAGCACAGCCGTCCTCTGTGACCAGACAACCTGACAGACTGTAAAAACACAAAACAACACACACAAACCCTCTGTCAACACTTGGTGGTATGTTTTTTTTTAGTGTGTTTATTCTTTTGTTTGTGGTTGTGGTCTAGTTCGGTTCAGGTTGAACGTATTTAAATTAACAATTTTACCTTAAACATAATCGATGGAAATTGAAGAATTGAACAACTAAAGCAAAACCAAAAAAAATGATGAATAATTTTCATGTAAAGTAATTCTCTGAATCTAGACAGTATTGCCAAAGTGAGTTACACAGTTAGCGGTTTATTCACTAATGTAAATCAGATTTTAAATGATCATCAGCTAAAGAAGATGATGTACATGAGGTGTGGAGTTAAAAAAAAAAATTGATAAATAATAATGGAGGTCATGAAAATGCATGTGATTTGATGAATTTAAAGCCCTTTTAGGTATGATGAAAACGGATTCATGTTGTCATTTTTCCAGTCTTGAATTCATCATTCACAACACAAAATCCATTTGTCATTTCAGAGAAGCGACCTCAAGGGTTGAATTAAGCCCCCCCCAAATCCTTTGCTCTCTGCAAAAAAAATTATTTTGCCTCCTTATTACCTGCCACTGAAGGGCAAGCAAGGGCTGAGTAAAGCAGTGTGCTGCGCACAGCTCTACCAAGAAGCGTAACGGCACAAATCACAACATTAGACATATTTTATATTAGGCTTATATGAGGAGTGTGTGTAAATCTGTGCATACAAATCTGTGTGTACAAATTCAGGTAATAATGCATCTTTAAAATAACAGTAAAATTCTGCGCTACTGACTTCAGACCAGAGTGAAAGTGTATTTACTTCTTAATAATGTGGGTATTGGATGGGAAAATGACAAATGCATCTATCTGATGCAGCAGGGCCCTGTGTCTCTGATGCGAATAGGTGGTTGATATGGGGATAGACTGTAGAAAGGAATAAACATAAATAAAGCTTCCCCAGTTTTCTACTCTACCCAGACTCTGTTTCCTCTCTTGTTGTAGGTATTAAATATCGATACATTTTGCCAGTTTAGCTACCCAGATGTTTACAATTATATTTCCTAGTTTATTTTTTGACCTGACCTGAGAGTGTCCAGGGCACAGTGTGGACTCCTCAGTCCAGTAGACAGCAGGTTGACTCCTGAATCCTGCAGGTTGTTGTTACTCAGGTCCAGCTCTCTCAGACTAGAGGACTGGGAGCTGAGAACTGAGGACAGAGCTACACAGCTTCTCTGTGAGAGGTTACAGCCACTCAGTCTGAAGAGATGATAATAATGAATTAAAAACAAAAGGAATACATTTTTTCTCCTGTTGAAAAGATAGAAATGTCTTTATATAATGATGAAAGAATCCAACTATCTATACACTTACAGAGCTTTGTTAGAGGCTTTGATCACTGGCAGCAGCCTCAGAAGCGCCTCCTCTGAAGCAGAGTATTTCTTCAGGTCAAACACGTCCAGATCTTTTTCTGATGACAGTAAGATGAAGACCAGAGCTGACCATTGAGCAGGAGACAGTTTATCTGTGGAGAGACTTCCTGATCTCAAGGACTGTTGGATTTCCTCCACTAGAGAATGATCATTCAGCTCATTCAGACAGTGGAACAGGTTGATGGTTTTCTCTGCAGAGGGAGTGTCTTCAATCTTCCTCTTGATGTACTGGACTGTTTCCTGATTGGTCTGTGGGTGACTTCCTGTCTGTTTCAGCAGGCCTTGCAGGAGAGTCTGATTGGTCTGGAGTGAAAGACCCAGGAGGAAGCGGAGGAACAAGTCCAGGTGTCCATTTGGACTCTGTATGGCCTTGTCTACAGCACTCTGGTAGAAACGTGTGGATTTTTCTTTAAATAAATTAGGCGACAGGGTGACTGTTGACTGGGTTGACTGTTCTTCTGAGAGTAGATTGAGTCCAGAGTTGATAAAGGTCAGATGGACATGAAGAGCAGCCAGAAACTCCTGAACACTCAGGTGGACGAAGCAGAACACCTTGTCCTGATACAGCCCTCTCTCCTCTTTAAAGATCTGTGTTAACACTCCTGAGTACACTGAGGCTGCTCTGATATTGATGCCACACTCTGTCAGGTCTGATTCATAGAAGATCAGGTTTCCCTTCTGCAGCTGCTCAAAAGCCAGTTTTCCCAGAGACGCAATCATCTCCCTGGTCTCTGGACTCCAGTGTGGATCTGTCTCAGCTCCCCCATCATACTTGACCTTCTTCAATTTGGTCTGAACCACCAGGAAGTAGATGTACATCTGAGTTAGGGTCTTGGGCAGCTCTTCTCCCTCTCTGGTTTTCAACACATCCTCCAGAACTGTAGCAGTGATCCAGCAGAAGACTGGGATGTGGCACATGATGTGGAGGCTTCGTGATCTCTTGATGTGGGAGATGATCCTGCTGGCCTGCTCCTCATCTCTGAACCTCTTCCTGAAGTACTCCTCCTTCTGTGGGTCAGTGAACCCTCTGACCTCTGTCACCATGTCAACACACTCAGGAGGGATCTGATTGGCTGCTGCAGGTCGTGTGGTTATCCAGAGGCGAGCAGAGGGAAGCAGTTTCCCCCTGATGAGGTTTGTCAGCAGCACATCCACTGAGGTGGACTCTGTAACATCAGTCAGGATCTCAGTGTTGTGGAAGTCCAGAGGAAGTCGACACTCATCCAGACCGTCAAAGATGAACACGACCTGGAACTGATCAAACCTGCAGATTCCTGCTTCTTTGGTTTCAGTAAAGAAGTGATGAACAAGTTCCACCAAGCTGAACTTTCTCTCTTTCAGCACATTCAGCTCTCTGAAGGTGAATGGAAATGTGAACTGTATGTCCTGGTTGGCTTTGTCTTCAGCCCAGTCCAGAGTGAACTTCTGTGTTAAGACTGTTTTCCCAATGCCAGCCACTCCCTTTGTCATCACTGTTCTGATTGGTTCATCTCTTCCAGGTGAGGCTTTAAAGATGTCTTCTTGTCTGATGGTTGTTTCTGGTCTGACTGGTTTCCTGGATGCTGTTTCAATCTGTCTGACCTCATGTTCATCATTGACCTCTCCAGTCCCTCCCTCTGTGATGTAGAGCTCTGTGTAGATCTGGTTCAGAAGGGTTGGGTTTCCTGCTTTAGCGATCCCCTCAAACACACACTGGAACTTCTTCTTCAGAGCAGATTTCAGTTTACGTGGAGCAATATGTCCTAAATGAGCACACAAGAAATAAGATCTGTGACTGACTGATAAAGAAAATGTGACATTTTATTTCCCCTTAAGAATGCATATATGAACATATTTTCCCTCGTGTGTGTAGAGTTAGTAAATGTCTTGTTTCTCCATCGTGTTAAACCTTTAGAGAAATCCTCTTACTGCTCTGCAGACAGTCAGCCAGCTCCTCCTGCTTCATTCCCCTCAGGAAGTCCAGTGTGATCTGCAGAAATGCCTCTCTGCTGCTCCTCCTCTGCTCCTCATCCTCACTGTTCAACACCTCTTCATCCTCCATCTGACTCGCTAAGCATTCTGGGTAATTTTGAATCAGAAGATTCTGAATCTTCTTCAGCTCATTCTTCACAAAAGTGACAATGTTCTCCTCCAGCAGCTGGAACAGAAAATTATGTTAATGACACAATCAAACTAAAACCATGGAGCCAAACATCAGATCCATGTTGGACAGACTGACAATCCACTGGTATAAAAGTGCAGCATGGAGATTATTTTGAACAGAACAGATGTAAAAGTAGTTGTTGAACATTTACAGACCATAAATATGGAGTCCAGGTGTGTTTGCTGGGCAGACTGACCACGGGGAACCTCTGAGCTCTCCTGGTCCACTCTGTGGAGGAATCATGAAGAATGAGTTCACATTATGTCTGTCCACACAGAGACAGAGACGGACACAAGCTAAAGGTCCATGAAGTGATGTTTGGATGTGACCAGTGAATCAGACGACTCCCTCTAGTGGTAAAGGTTATTGGTCCTGCTGATCCCACTGAGAATCAACAGCTCAGTCTGCAGCTGTTTGTAGCTTTCAGCTCAATGTTTGGCTTCATCAGTCAGTTTGGTTTAGTCCCAACAGCTCTCATCAACCCTTCACATAGCTCTCCCTCCCTCACTGAACACTGCTGAAGTGCCCTGAAGCAAGGCACCTGGAACCTCCAGCTGCTCCAGTGGAGCTGCTCACTGCCTCTATCAGACTGGTTGTACTGGACAGCTCCCAGTATGAACAATGAACCAGTTAAGTTTCACTGAGTAAATGACAGTTCAAACATGAATCAGGAACATTTTCAGTTCACTCCATCAGAGGTGTTTGTCAGATGGTTGAATGGCATCTGAAACACCCACCTCCTTCTGTGATTGGTCAGCTGTGTGCAGCTGAGAAAGTGGGCGGGGTTCTTTTTTCATTCTTCACCCAAACTATTACTGTCTCTTTCAACTGCTGGGGTCAACTCAATGAACGTCTTCCAGGAGAGACTGTCTGAACATGGGAGACGTTATCTCCATATTTAAGCCCCCCCCCCATTACAGCCAGAGCATTACCTGCACCTTCCAGCGTGGACTTTCACAACAGATAGAAACACTTGGTCAAACAACACGTCATACAAACTAATTCTTTTCTACAATAACCTGAGTCTTACTGTCAGGTACAACTTACATCTGATCAGCTGATGGACGTTGTTCTTTAAAGAGAATGATTAACTCCTTTGAGTCGTCGCTCTTTAAAGACAGACAGCTGGGTTCAGTCTGGTCTGGTCTCTGCTGCTGGATCCTGAAACAAAAACAGAACTGATAAATGTGCATGTTGGATGAAAACTCATGAAAAACTTGTTCAACCATGTAATTATAACTGTAACTAACTTAGTGTGAAATGTCTTTCTTTCGCTGGGTACAGGTCCAGACCCACGTCCAGGTCCAGGTCCAGCAGAGTCTGATGTTTGCTGCTGCTCTGGGCTTCAACACAACACACACAGAATTTTGAGTGTTAATAATGACGGAGCAGTGATCTGAGCTTTGACATGGAGAAGAGTCATGGACAGTTAGAGATCCTCATCTTACCTCTGAGCTCTGGTCTGGCTCTCATGTTCCCCACACAGAGTGGTTTTAGAGGGAGGGGCTCCCTCCTCTCTGTCCTCACACTGATCCATGCTGCTGAGTTCACAACAGCTCACACGTTCTACCTTCATGTGGAGAGAAACACAAATCATTCATCTGCACATCAATTTACAAAATTTCTGCAACCAGACAACAGCGTGAGGCAGAGGAAGCTGCCATCAGCTGCTGTACTTCTACCATCAGTCCACTAGATGGCGACATGAAGCTGCAGTGAAGTGAAGAGCAGCCCAGCACACGCATGACGCATAGACGACCATTCATAGCTACTGACAAACTGAAGGACTGAGTGTATGCATCCCTGTAGAAAATGACTTCATGAAAAAAGCTACAGCTGATTATTTCACACACAGTTGGGACTGAATTAATTTCACCTCAAAGTCATTTCACTGACAAAATATGTAAGAAAATACTTTTTATAGCTCTTCAAACCCTAATAATTAGATTATCTACTTAGTTTTCTGTAATGAACTAGTTCTGCATTTAGTAATTGTAAAATAGAGACAGTATTCAATTGGCAATCTTCCAAATATTTAATTTAAATGAATTATTAAGCTATTGTAACCTGGAGATACAGAAAATGTGAAATTTATCGAGAGAAAATCAGGCAATTCAACACAGCAGAATAATCAAAATAATACAAATTCTATAGTAGATTTATGGATATAGATTGAAAAATGTCTAAATGTCTTTTATTTATGTATTTGCTTTTGTTCTTGGTACTGATCAAATACATGAAGTAATAATATATTATTAATGTACACCATAACAAAACTGTTTTGTTTATTTTTTATAATTGTCTTCATAAATATCACATAATATATAATAATACAGCATTAAAAAATGTATTTAATGTTGGTCCTCATCCTTCATCACGACAGTTACAGTGCTGAGTCAGTTGTAATGACACTGCAATAACACTATAATAACACTACAATGACAACAAATGTTAAAGAGTAAAATATGAAAAGCTGCTCACATTACCTGCAGATGGAGAAAATGATCTGCGCCACAAAGTTCAAAGTGAAAGTAAACTTCAGCAAGGAAACGCCCAGAGAGGCCTGTGCATATAACTGTGATATAACTGCCAAAAAAATAAGGTGTAAAATGAAGATAAGTAAACTTACTAAGCAGAACTGAATGTTTAAGAACATGATAAGTTTCACATGAGAAACATCCAAGGGCACATGTGGTTGGAATGTTTCTCATGTCTCTCTCTCTTTGTCCTCAGTCTGCAGTCTCTGACTCTCCCCAAAATGACTGTCAGAAAAATGCTCCACAACCATTATGAACAGTCAGGCCTGAAATCATTCACCTAAAACTCATGCCATTCTACACCGTACATTTGTTTCCACAGCTAGAGGTCACATCTGATGCAAACCTTTCTCATCGTGACTCCATGTTGTCCAGAGCAGTCAGTCAGGACTCCCAACGTCAGATTATCCCCTGACATTATCCTCCTTTTCTAGTATAATCAGGAACACAGAAGTTGTATATTTCATATTCACCAGAATATTATGTAATTTGGCCTCTACAATTTACTTATAACTTACTTTATTGTAAACCCACATAATGTATAATTTTATCATATTGATTTGTATCTGTCATTGTAAGAGGATGTATTTTGTGTCCCTTATAAATTATGAACACAGAATATTGAGAAATACCCTTAAACCAAATGAAGACAACAGAACACAACAACACAAATAATACAGTCACTTGTAACTCAAGCTGCGTAATTCCAAAAAGTCAAACAAAATTAAACTATAGATAGATACCTGTAACACCTTATCATAGCGTACCCTGTCACTTTATGTAGTGGAAAATGTTTAAAAACGGGTAAATGTGATCTATGATCAGTTTGATACCACATTCTGTGATATATTGATGTTATAAATACAACAACAAAGAATATTGATCAAACAGATGATGGTTAAGACCTTGCAGCCACCTTGATCCTGTGAAGTTCCTGTTGTAGATGTCAGTATGACTTCACAGTCAGTCTGAATCAAGCCAGATATTCATTTAACTATCATGCATTGTGATTGATGCTACACGCAGGAAGAGTCACGCAGGAACTATTAAGCAAACTATTACAGGAAGTATAGAAAGGAAACAATCATCCATGCATATTGTCGTCCAGAATTGGAATTACAAACTTTCTTTGGATTCTACAGTTGTTGATGACCAGAAAATAATGAGGCTACTATAATACTGGACTGTATTGGAGTAGGTGAACTACAGCTGGGGTATGGACTTGACTTTGTTGAATCCAAACACAAATAGTTTTGAAGGGTGCAAAAGAAAACATGTTTTCGTGTGAAAAAGGCTTTCCAAATTAAACTCTTACAAATGTGTTGTTGTGCATCCTTCAACACAAATTATCAGCTTTAAATCATGTTTTCTTGTCTACATCTACCCAGGGGGCATTAGGAGAGCAATATCAGCCCGAAATATCAACTGCCATCCAGGCGAATAATAACTACAACAAAAGTTATGGTAGCTGTACTCTTAAGCTTCAAGTTGGTCACTCATGCCAAGTTGAAACATGATTCTGGATGATGCTCTGAAATCATTTTACACACACTTACCTTTGTGTAACTGTAAGTAGACACTAACACTCCTCTGGAGTAAATTGACCAGATTTCTGAAATAAGAACTGGGGACATTTCCAGTTCGGCGGCCAATATATCATTAAAATACGTAACGTTTTTATCTATGACACAATAAAAGGGGGACAGTCCCAGTTTCATGTATTTTGACTATGGTAATTGTTGTGCTGTAATAAACTATGGTTAGAGACGGGTTAAATTAGGATTTCTGAGGAGGCTGTGCCATAGTCTTTTTGAAGGACCCCATCACACTTGGATAGAAGTTTGGTCATAAGTTTAAGTGTTTTACATCATCACAGACGTTATTTGCTTCATGGTTATCAGGGTTACTGTTCTGTTGTGTAGGAATGCATTTAGATGGATGGATGCCTGGTTATGTTTTCAAACGGAGGAGCAAATCTGGAAAGATACAAAATTGGTAGGGGGGTCCTGGGTCCTCCCCCAGGAAAAAAAATATTGTGATTTAAAACAGATTTCCTCCACTTTTACACCACCTAACCTCTTGGATTAAGCTAAGTAACAGCCCCCTGCACTAGTCTAGATTAGTTAGACTCAGGTGGTGAGAAAACCCAAAATGCATCAAGAACAGTTTATAACTGGATCAAGACAGGAAGTGATTATTAGAAAAATGTCAGTTTCATATTTGAAAATACCTATAAAAACATAATGTATGTAAAATGGTGGTAGGTCGCAGGCTACTAGATCATCATCAAGCTCAAACAAGATCATTTATATAAATGAAATAGGCTTACAACACATCACAGTAGGATTTAGATGGTTAAGCAATGTTAAACCTGAGGGTTGCTATTCTCAACACTCACAAGGTCACCTTCAAATTCTAACAACTGTGACAAAGTAAAATCACTCTAGATGAATGAAATGGCCTCATAACAACTATCTAATGTCAGCTGTTTATTGTACTCACAGGCTGTGGTTTCAGCTGTCATAGCATAGCTACCTCCTGCTTCTGCTCCCTGTTCAGTTCATCCTGCTTTACCCAGTTTGGATTTTGATGTTTCCTTGTGTCCCTTAATCCTGTGCTCCTTGTGTTTTTTGTTAGTAAAGTCATATCTTTTCACCTACTCGCTTGTGTTTCGTTTGGGTCCAGCCTTCCTTAATTTATGACAATATTTACGCTAAATCTATTTCCTCATGGAAGAGGCTCCGAGGCTTCCTCTTTGTTTAATTATGTTCACCAACGATGTAAAATTATATCACTATATTTCAGTATTAAGGCACAATCACATTCATGATTTTGTAAAAGCATACTAACTTAAAAATCTGTTATTGACTCATGAGTAGGGATGGGGATCGAGAACCGGTACTAGTTGAGAACCAGTTCCAACTGGTTCGATCCATCAACATCATTTGCCTCTATGCTTAACGATGCCCTTATCGATGTCTTCCACCTAGTTCCGTGTGTCTCGCAAAGAATGACGTCATGCTTTCGCGAGTGGCAGTCAGCGTGAACGAAAACGAAGGAGTCGAGGAAGTGTGGCTTAATTTCACACTAAATGATGCAAACAGTGCAACATGCAATGTCTGTGGCACTAAGATTTCAAACAATGGTGGAAACACCAGCAACATGCTGAAACATATGTCTACGCAGCAAGGCATTAAATATCAGGAGTGCCGTGTGTTTGCCACTCTTACGCCGCCTGGCAACGAGTGCTCTCAGCACAGCAGTGAAGGTACGTATTAGTGATGTGTTGGTTGTGAATGAGCTGACTCTTTAGAAAGTTTCAGAGCGACAGACAGAGAGCGTCACCCTAACCATGGTAACTCACTGACAACACCTGCCTGCATGCGCACATCATGAGAGGAGCATCATGGAAATAAATGAACTACAATAACAGATTTGCAGATATTCCTTTACGATCCCTTGATGGTCTGAATAACTCGATGAATAACCAGCCCAATTTAACCCGCGTTTAGCTTGCTGCGTTAGCTAATGCTAGCACTAATGTTAGCACACTAATGCTAACTTTTGTCAACTGACATGACACTCCAGTTTAAATTTAAACTTACCTCTGAATCTCTGGGCTTCAACCTCTGTCTCCTCTATGCAGCTTCAGTTATATATTTCTAAGAGGTCGTCAGTTGAAAGGCCTGTGAGCGTCAACAGTTGGTTTCATGACATCATGAAAGTCCAACAACCAATCACTGCTGGCTCTATATTATAGTAATATTAAGGCTATGTATGTGAGTGTATTGGCGGGAAGCTGGGATCTATGGCAGGGCTCAGTATACACTATTCCATTTTTTATCCAAAGTTGATGTCAGTTCACATGGGAAATGTTGATTTTCACCTATAAAAGTTTGGATTCATGTCAAAACTTCCATTTCATACATGGCACTATCCTTTTCACATTTAAAGTTTGCATCCACATATATAGCTTAAATGTTTTTTTCCCCCCAAATGCCACCTTACTCTGATTTACATGTGTAATCACAACACAACGTGGGATTTTTCACTTCACATACATCATTTTCCGTGTAAAATTGGCATTCACATAAAGCTAAAAACATGTTTTAAATTTTTTATTTCACATGTAAAACTTGGGTTCACATGTGAAATGTTTCATTTTGCTAGCAAAGCTGGTATTCACATGAAAAGTTAAAAACATCTTGTCTTCCAGCTGATAACTACATTCAGTGAAGCCAGATAATGAAAAGATATCCTGGGTATGTTGAACCTGCTTTGCCTCATTTCAGTGAAGGGATTCCTGCAGCTCCACCACAGTAACGTTCAGCCTCATTAATCTCATGGTGACTCATGGAGTTGTTTTTCTCACCCTCAGTGTTTGTTCCCACAGCAATTATTATTGATTATTGTATCAGTTGAGCTCTAAGGGAACTAATATGTCCATTGACTGTGAAGGACTGACTCTACATTGATGATGATGTGGCGGCATCTGGTGGTGAAACGATTAATTGCGTGGTGTCAGTTTAATGAACACGGATGACATCAAGTGTTTGGAAATGAAAAAGACTTAAATCTTGTTATTAGAGTTGTATTAATGACTGCTGTTAACCAATAGTGATACCAACACTGATGTCTTCAATGTAAACATTCATGCATCATTTTACAGTTTTTCACTATTGCAAAAAACACAGTTCCTGAAACTAGGGCCCTGTTTATCAAAGCTCCACACATACAAACCAAAACCATATACACAAAATACAAAACATGGTACATCTCCTGAAAAGCAAGCTCTACATCAAAAACTAAATAAACTCTTGTAAAAATGATACTTTAGCTTCCAAACTTTACACACAAACACCAAATATATAGATCTTTTCCAGCTGCACATGCACAATCGAAAACATTTTTCACATTTCTACTTTTCTAATGATATATGCAGTATATCAGTATAAGTATAAAAACACTATTACTGTATGTATTTGCAGCATGCTGTAAATATGAACACAAATGCAATGGGGAAACAAAATCTCCTTATTCTCAATTCTGAACTGAAGATGACATGAACATACTGTACTGTAAAATACAGTAGGCCTATACAGTATTGCAATTACTGTCTATCCTGTCTCTGATCTCATCTGTAAGAATTGTCCTATTTCCTCTGACCCTTCCTCCTTCACCTCTTCCTCTGTCTGGTTCGCTTCTTTCTCCTCTTGCCCCTTCTCCTCTTTCTCCTCTTGCCCCTTCTCCTCTTTCTCCTCTTGCTCCTTCTCCTCTTGCTCTTCCTCCTCTTATGGGAACACCTCTTCCTCTAATCCTGTCTCCAAAAAGGGTGCTCATGGCCAAAGTAATACAGTTGCCAAACAGTGAGAAGTTAAAGGACATGGCGACGTATTTTGAGCACAGATGGGGGTTGCCACAGTGTGTAGGTGCAACTGATGGATCCCACAACCCCATTCTTGGACCAGAGGAATATCACACTGAGTATTTCAACCGCAAAGGCTGGCATGGGATCATCCTGCAGGCTGTGGTGGATTGAATGGGACTATTTTAGAATGTTTTTGCTAGAGTGGCAGGGAGCCTGCATGATGCCAGAGTGCTGTGCTTGAAATGAAATAAATAACATTTGTGGACACAATGTTGGCTACTATCTCCTTGGTGATGAAGCCTCTCCTTTGAAAAGCTGGCTAATGAAACCTTTCATAGACAATGAATGACTGACACCCCAGCAATTTGTGTACAACCACAAAACAAGCAGAGCCAGGGTGGTTGTTGAGAATGCATTTGGTAGACTGAAGGGAAGATGGAGGTGCTTGCTAAAATGTAATGACAAGGTCAAATCCATGGTATTAGCATGTTGTGTTCTGCATAGCCTCTGTGAAATGAATGGGGATGAGTACAGAGAAGAATGGGGTGCCACCGCCTTAAACCAGCCTGAGGGGGCACAGTTGGCTACTGTAGAGGCAGAGGGGCTAGATGCTCGTACAGGTCTAATGACGTTCCTGAAGCATACTTTGTAAAGTGTAATTGCCAGTTTTCATTTTGTGCATCTGTTTTTTACTGTTTCAATGTTTATGATGTTGAAGGGATGGAGGTTTATGCAGTTGTTGTTTGCCGATGTTTAATTATCCATGTTTACTTGTTTACAGTCCCTAGTAGCTGGAGGGACAGCAGTACAAGATTATAACCGTTTGTTTGATATGTACCGTACAAGTCTTGAGCTGCTTTGTTAGAAAACAATGATTAAAAAGACCAAAAATAGAGATGTAAGGAGGACTCCTTCATACAAAAAGAAGAGACAAGAATATTGTCAAACAGAACAGCAGGGCCAACTTGCTTGTATTTACATTTATGTACATCTACATTATACTCCTCATTTATTCTTTATTTTATTCTTTAATTTAACCTTGATTTTCTATGGAAGATTGTGGGTCTCCATCTGAAAAGTTTAAGAAAGTTTAAGTTTTAGTATAAGTTGGTCTTAAGAATGTTGGAAATGCCAAATCATATAATCATTCTTATCGTTTGTATTTTACTCATTTATATTTTATTCATTCATTTTTTAATAATTTAATCTTCTTTAACTCAATCTTTAATCTCCACTGGCGGAGCCCCGTGACGGCGAATAGGTATCGACAGGGCATGACTTCGGGAGTCTCAGCGACATCCACACTGGCCACTGGGTAGAATCACATAAGAGGGCCCTCCTCTGCCCCTCTCCCCTTCCCGCATTCACATGCCTCAGTGCTCATGCGAAGTCAGGGACAAAGCTAGTGAGCGAGGGTGGCCGCGCAGGGGCCCACGGCAACAACCGGACAAGGACAGAGTAACTTTTTCCCTGAGGGCTACAGGCCTGCTAGCATAGTCCAGCGATCCATGAGTACTACAGGCGGCAGATTAATGAACGTGCCGTTGCCAGCGGGAAAGCCGAGGCTCTGACACTTCTGAGGGCAACCAGCTTCAAAACCCCGCCTCTTGCTTCAAAGAGGTGGAAATAAATTGTTACAGTGCACATCTGTTTTGAACAACAAAAATTGTCACAGCTGCTTATCTACAATGTTTAACTTATTAAACACATCACCTCAATTTATAGCTTATAGATAGATAGCTAATAACTAATAACTTCATTCACTCACACACAAAATACTTAAGTATTTTATGTTATTATTCTATTGAAAGAATAGCCACTATACACACACTGTTTGCTTAAAGTATTTATTCAACAAAATACAACTTATGTGCAAAAATATGTGCGAATGTGTACATGTGCACAGATGTAATGGCAATATTTTCAGTCCTGGGGGAATTGGGTTCTTCTGGCACAAAGACTGAGTAAGCTGGCGAAGAACATCCAGAAACCTGGCTTGAAAGTCTCTGTGGATGTGTCTGGTCTCTGCAGAGTCAGCCTTGAGGAATGCAAGCTCCTGTCTCCTCAGTTCCATGTCTTCCGCCTGGCCCTCAAGAAGGAGCTGCATGTAGCTGTAGCTGTTCATGTCCAGAGAACGCCAGTTGGTGTCCCAGCAAAGCATCGAGCCGGTCGAACCACCACCACTGGTCCTTCGGTCAGAACCACTCCAGTTGTTGTGGTCCTTTATTTTTTTGTATTCCTGTTTCAGTTTTATTACCTTCTCCCAAACCTATTTGGGGGCATGGAAAATGTTAAGTTTGCTCAACCTTGTAGATATTTTAGTGTACACTTTTTTGTTCCGTGTCACCGATTCCAATTCCAGCTGGATATCTTCTTCCGCGTAAATGCTTAGCAACGCCTGGACCTCGTCGTCGGTCCATCTGTTGTAGGCTTTCTTCTCCATCTTGAACCATGATGAAAAACAATAGTCTTGAATCAAAACAAAAGGGTCAGCTTGCAGCTGTGGGCTTCTAAACATGGCGGGTGAAATAAAATGCAGCATGTACTTGACCAACTATAAATGTTCAGCACTGCAGACCACACCCCCCAACGTTCCTGAACCTCTGGGAAGTACTATCTGCTAACACGGACTTTTTAATGGTTGATCAATTATGCTGGAACTAAATTTATACCCTGGTTCCCGCAGTCGAAAATGCGCATAGTTCCTCAAAAGGTTCCTTGTTCTTGGGGAAGTTCCTGCAGTGGAAACGCGGCTTTAGGCTTTCTTTTAAGGCCCTATGTTCTTTGGACTAAGAAAGCCAATCGTAGTAGTGTTTGGCTAGGCTGTCAAGCTTTCAATTCAACAGTTCAGCTTATGTTCAAGTGTGCGTCCTTGACTAGATTCATGTAGATCTTATGCACCTCTGACACAGGTTTTCTGATCCATTGATTCCAAGTCACCGTCTCTTCTGCCTGGGGTATTGCAACTTCCATCTCATTATAGCAGCTTTTTGCACAGACTCGATACATGCATGACTTGTTGTCTGGACTGCACCCAACTGAGGACAACAGCTGAGAAACTCTACCTGTTTTCACAAGACCTTTTTCAGTCAAGAGTTTGACATTCTCATGGTCCAAGCATACACAGGTGTTCCTGTCTGAAACTTTTGCCTGTGTTTCAAAAAGGACAATTCCTAACAAACTGCCTCTATGAGAGCCTATGACTGTATCCTTTTTGCAGTAAGCGCAACTGTTCTCATCTCGACAGAGAAAGCCAGAAACTTTCTGTAGGTTGAAACTGTGCTTTGGGAGATGTATCCATTGACACAGATGTGAAATTCAAGATTTCCTCCATAGCCCTTTTCCTTTCCCTGTGCTTACTCTGGTCTTGCCTCATTGTTGCCTCTCTTTAGTCTGTTCTGGACAGCTGGCTGATGGGGGGTTTAAACAATTTTCCCTTACAGATGGTTACAGATGGCTAAACTCAGACTTGACATGAAAAAATGCCACTTCTTTAAGAGGTTTTATCCAGAAGAGGCAACACCCAGGCTGTGTCTGACTTTCTGGTCCTTCAGGATGTCAAATCCTTAAAGTGTTTCCTGAGATTTGCGGGCTGGTATCACAAGATCATTACCCATTTTGCTTACCTTGCAACTCCTCTAAACCATCTCAAAAGGAAGTCTCACAACTCTGAAGTTGTGAGAGATTTAGATTTTCACTTTTAGTGAGGGACTTCAAACACCATTGAATCTACTGAGGATTAAAACGTAGAGACTGGGAAAGAAACAAAAACAAGTTATATTTTTGGAGAATTTCAGACTTTTTTGTCTGGACATTGGTTTCAATATGAAAACTCTGTATCAGGACAGAACCAACAACCTCAAAACTTCTCGAGAGTCATCGACACCCTCAACCCTCCCGGACAAAGATACTGTAAACCTAATTTCTTAGAACTCTTAATCATTTTCATTCACTGTCTTTGTCCTTTCTTAGACCTTTCAAACAAACTGTGACAGCATTTTAGTTTGAACTGAGTCAGTTAAGTAGACCTAAGATTAAAAGAAAGACAAAACAATGATATACACACTGATGCTTTTATTGTACAAAGATAAAAAAGAAATCATTGTCAGAATCTGAACAAAAGTCAACAACATTTATATCTTAGCTTCCATCTTTAAAGAACTGGGGGAGGAAAACCTTGACAAGGAATCATTTAGAAGAGTAATACATTGACTCAGTTCATGAATCTGAAAATGTGTGTGAGTGAAACAGACAGATATGTACTGACTGGCCTATCTGTTCAACAGCAGGAGACTCTCTGCTATACTGAACACAGAGACACTGAGGAACCAAACGACCATACTGCTAACCCAAACCCAGGATACAGAGGTTCAGTGAATGTGGTGTTGAAAGTGTGGAGGTGGATCAGTGAGTCAGAGGAGACTCTGTAGAAGGACAGAGTGCCAGCAGGACAGTCCACATATACTGCTACTCTATTGGAGGAGGAGGCGGAGGAGAAGGAGGAAAGGATGGATGTCCTTATGTTATTGTGCCAGACAGAGTAAAAACCATCTGAGCAGAACAGACTCCAGGACTGATTGTTCTTTCCAAACCAACAGTCTTCACTGTTTCCTCTCCTTCTTATTCCCCTGTAGCTCACTGATATGTAAACATCTCCTCTCCACTCAGCCTCCCAGTAACAGCGACCAGTCAGACCAGTTGTACACAGAAGCTGAGGCAATTCAAATTTGTCTGGATGATCAGGATACGACTGATCCTCTCTCACATGTGTCACCTTCCTGTTGTTGTCAGACAGTTTGAGGTTTCTATTCACTGTGTTTGCGTCAAGTGTGAGTTCACAGGAATCTGATGGAGAGAAGAAGACACAATACGGCTGCAGTTATTGATACATCATCTGATCATTTATTATATTGATGATGACTCATGAAATCAGTGATCTGAAGGAGTGATGTGACAGTTTGAAGATGGTTGAATGTGCTGCTTTGTTTCCATGAATCAAATTAAAAACACACTTACACTTCCTCAGACCTGGTCTCAACCATCTGACTCCACCAGGCTCCACCCTGAAAGGAGGGGGGGGGGGGTCAGACCAGCACATTCTCTTTCAGCATGCAGACATGGACATTACATGGCTCTCAAACACAGATTGTTTCGTTACCCTGTTACCCAAATGTAGGTTTGTATGTATGGATGCACATTGACTACAAAGAAAAGGGAACTGGAGTACTTATCTTGTAATTTTACAGGGAGATGACATGGAGAAAATATTTCATCATCTTTCTCCATTGTAATGGGTGAAAATTCTCCTCATCCCCAGGCCCTCTCTCGTGGTGTTGCCTAGGGGTCAATTTTCGGTTCTGTACTACTTTTTATCTGCTTCTTTGAGTCAGATAATCCGCAGGTATAATATTAATATCTGCTGTTATGCTGACGACTTTAAACTTTATGTTCTTCTGACTGGTAGTGACATAGACACATTTTCATGGCTTGTCTTTCTGATATCAAATTCTGGACGTCACAAAATTTTCTCTGGCTCAATGAGTCAAAATCTGAGGTTCTTTTTTTTGGCCCCCAAAATTGGGGCCTCAACCAATAGGCCAACTCCCGCTAACTGTTCCCACAGCTTACCACACTACAAAAAGAAACCAGCAGCCATATTACAGAAACTTCCTGTCTTAAGTCTCAAGATCAGTAGAGTATAAGATAGGAGCCTGATCTTATCTTACTTCATCCTATCTTATTTCAGGTTAGGAAATTGTAAATACTCAATCCAACATTGTGTTCTGTTTAAAACAACAAAACACATTTTTCAGTTGCACCGCAACCAGGAGAGCCTCTTGATGCTCAGCTACCTGCAGGATCATCTACTGATGAGCGTTCTGTCGTCAAACACATCGTTAGTGTCTGCTGCCATGATACTTTCAGTGAATGAGTTCTGTCTGTTGTCATTTTGTTGGTTGTGCAAAGGCAATAAAAGAGCAGTCATATGGATAAGATGAGTTAGGTAAGTGGTGGAAAGGTGAAAGTTAGGGCAGATTAATGGTTACCCTAAAGTTAGGAGAGTTTATTTAGGATTTTGGGAAGTTAAAAAGCTTGTGAAAACACTTATCCTATACTAAGTTATGGTTGGAACATTGAGCTGAAATTCATGCTCAGGTCATAGAATACAGCTGACAACACCTGGTTTCATAACTGTGAGATCTTTTCTCCTAAATATGACACAGTGATTCATAACTAGATATCATCACAAGTCATCATTAGGAGAAAATCCCCTTTTGTTGTTGAATTGAATGCAATGCAATTCTGTAGAGATCTGACATCAACTGTGACACAGAAAATGTTTCAGCTCTTCCTCCATCAGACATTGTGGCTGCAGCAGGCCTCTCCATACCTGAGAGTGTCCAGTCGCCAGTCTGGATCTTCCAGTCCAGCAGACAGAATCTTCACCCCTGAGTCTCCTGGATGATTGTAGCTCAGGTCCAGCTCTCTCAGATGGGAGGGGTTGGAGCTCAGAGCTGAAGCCAGAGAAGCACAGCCTTCCTCTGTGACCAGACAACCTGAAAGACTGTAAACACACAAAACAACACATAGGAACCCTCTGTCAACACTTGGCGGTATGTTTGATTTTTTTGTTATTTATTCTTTTGTTTGTGGTTGCGGTCTAGCTTGGATCAGATACAATGTATTTGAGGCAAATTTAGAATTATACCTTAAACATCATCAGTGGAATTGAAGAATTCAACAACTAAAGTAAATGATTATGATGAATAATGAAATTTTGTCAGGGAAAGTAATTGTCCAATACAAGTTGGCTGTTGCACTAATGTAAATCAGATTTTAAATGATCATCAGCTAAAGTAGGTGATGAACATGCCAAATGGAGGTAAAAATAACATTGATTAAAAAAATGGAGGTCATGACAATGAATGGGATTTGATGAATTTAAAGTCAATTGAATTAAAAGAGTCAAGATATGATGAAAACATATTCATGTTTCATAATTTTTCCAGTCTTGAATTCATCATTTACAAATCAAAATCCATCATTTCAGGAAAGTGACCTCAAGGGTGGAATTAACAGAAAATAATTGATAAAATGGAAGAGATGAAAATACTTAAGAGAGAGGAGTGATTAAATGAATGTGTCTTGGAAAATGAGTGCTAAATTGTCAATTGATTATATAAACTTGAGTGACATTTATTAGAAATACTATTGACACTGCAGCAAGCAGTTTTTGTTATTACCTCAATTTTTATCAGTTAATTTTTCTTAATTCCACGCCTCATAGATGAATCCTGACCTGAGAGTTTCCAGAGTACAGTTTGAACTCCTCAGTCCAGCAGACAGCAGCTTTACTCCTGAATCCTGCAGGTTGTTGTTACTCAGGTCCATGTCTCTCAGACTAGAGGACTGGGAGCTGAGAACTGAGGACAGAGCTTCACAGTTTCTCTCTGAGAGGTTACAGTCACTCAGTCTGAAGAGATGATAATAATGAATTAAACAGAGAAAATGAATAAAAAATATTTTTTTTTATTTATTATCTATTTTCTCCCTGTTGAACAGATAGAAGTGTCCTTATATAATGATGAATAAATCAACTATCTATACACTTACAGAGCTTTGTTAGAGGCTTTTACCACTGGCAGCAGTCTCAGAAGAGCCTCCTCTGAAGCAGAGTATTTCTTTAGATCAAACATATCCAGATCTTTTTCTGATGAAAGTAGGATGAAGACCAGAGCTGACCATTGAGCAGGAGATAGTTTACATGTGGAGAGACTTCCTGATCTCAGGGACTGTTGGAGCTCCTCCACTAGAGAAAAATCATTCAGTTCATTCAGACAGTGGAACAGGTTGATGCTTCTCTCTGCAGAGGAAGTATCTTTGAGTTTCTTCTTGATGTACTGTACTGTTTCCTGTGAGTCACTTCCTGTCTGTATCAGCAGACCTCGTAGGAGATTCTGATTGGTCCGCAATGAAAGACCCAGGAGGAAGCGGAGGAATAAGTCCAGGTGTCCATTTGGACTCTGTAAGGCCTTGTCTACAGCACTCTGGTAAAAATGTGTTGATTTGTCTCTTGAGAGTTTAGCCCACAATGAGGTTGCTTTCTTTCCTGTCAGCAGATTGAGTCCAGAGTTGATGAAGGTCAGATGGATATGAAGAGCAGCCAGAAACTCCTGAACACTCAGGTGGACGAAGCAGAACACCTTGTCCTGGTACAGCCCTCTCTCCTCTTTAAAGATCTGTGTGAACACTCCTGAGTACACTGAGGCTGCTCTGATATTGATGCCACACTCTGTCAGGTCTGATTCATAGAAGATCAGGTTTCCTTTCTGCAGCTGCTCAAAAGCCAGTTTTCCCAGAGACGCAATCATCTCCCTGGTCTCTGGACTCCAGTGTGGATCTGTCTCAACTCCTCCATCATACTTGACCTTCTTCAGTTTGGACTGAACCACCAGGAAGTGGATGTACAGCTCAGTCAGGGTCTTGGGCAGCTCTCCTCCCTGTCTGGTTTTCAACACATCCTCCACAACTGTAGCAGTGATCCAGCAGAAGACTGGGATGTGGCACATGATGTGGAGGCTTTGTGATCTCTTGATGTGGGAGATTATCCTGCTGGCCTGATCCACATCTCTGAACCTCTTCCTGAAGTAGTCCTCCTTCTGTGGGTCAGTGAACCCTCTGACCTCTGTCACCATGTCAATACACTCAGGAGGGATCTGATTGGCTGCTGCAGGTCCTAAGGTTATCCAGAGGCGAGCAGTGGGATGCAGTTTCCCCCTGATGAGGTTTGTCAGCAGCGCGTCCACTGAGGTGGACTCTGTAACATCAGTCAGGATCTCAGTGTTGTGGAAGTCCAGAGGAGGTGGACGCTCATCCAGACCGTCAAAGATGACCTCAACCTGGACCTGTTCAAACCTGCAGATTCCTGCTTCTTTGGTTTCAGTAAAGGAGTGATGAACAAGTTCCACCAAGCTGAACTTTTTCTCTTTCAGCACATTCAGCTCTCTGAAGGTGAATGGAAATGTGAACTGTATGTCCTGGTTGGCTTTGTCTTCAGCCCAGTCCAGAGTGAACTTCTGTGTTAAGACTGTTTTCCCAATACCAGCCACTCCCTTTGTCATCACTGTTCTGATTGGTTCATCTCTTCCAGTGGATACTTTAAAGATGTCTTCTTGTCTGATGGTTGTTTCTGGTCTGCTGGTTTCCTTGATGCTGTTTCAATCTGCCTAACCTCATGTTCATCATTGACCTTTCCAGTCCTTCCCTCTGTGATGTAGAGCTCTGTGTAGATCTGATTCAGTAGGGTTGGATTTCCTGCTTTGGCGATCCCCTCAAACACACACTGGAACTTCTTCTTCAGATTAGATTTCAGTTTAGGCTGGCATTTGTCAAGAGTCTCTGAATGAAAAAACAACAGATATTAAAATGACACAGTAAAGGCCTGATCACAACAGCAAGTGTCAGTGAAATAAATCCTCACATCCTCATGAGATATTTGGATCTATACACTTGATGCACTGACACCTCAAAGGGCTAATAATTAGCTGCTGTAATTTGAGAATTCACTTTGGTCAGAGGCAGGTCAATAATACCAACGTATTAGTCTGCTTGATTGTTGGCAGGGGGGCCATAGAGGGTGTAAATTTTTGCCATGTCCCACCAGGCAACACTTTATTTGATAACATTTTGTATTGCGCTGCTAAGACAAGTCTAGTTGCGCTGCTGTGACGCAATCGGTCGTCTGATGCAACCTCTGAAGGATGCAGTCCCTGAACTGGGACGCAGTAAAAGACTAAATAGATTTTTCTTACTGATGCATGGTCGGTGTCATGGCACTGACCTGCAGTGCAGTGATTTACCCAAGTGATCAGTGACTCCTCTGAATTTGCTGCAAAATGTCAGTAAGTTTTATACAAACTACCCGATACTTTAGAGACACCTTTGTTCACTTTTGGTGGACTTCTTTTCCTAATGTCTTTCCACTGCTCCTTATTGACAAGATGTAGTACTTAGACTTCACACCAAGGTCCCCTACTGCATTGAAGCTTTATGTCCCTCATTTGTACATTGCTTTGGATAAAACTGTCTGCAAAATAAGTAAATGTAAATCTCATTTCATGTGGATCATTCTTATCAAATTCTTCTCATTGTGTTCTAGTCAGTTTGGGCTGCTGGTGTTTTCTTCTAGAAGTTTGGTCCGTATGCAGCACTCACAGCTATATGTTGGAGGCTTCAACAGAGATGTCTCTCATTCACTTTGAGTGGGGTGACGTCACACGTTGCCAAACTGCTAAGCTGGCATTGTTTTCGGTTGAGAAAAGTTCAACTTTTCAAGCTGCAGCACAGGGGCAAGCCAATCAAATCACATTTGTGCAGGTCCAGCCTGGCCTTCAATGTCAAAATGGAACTGGACAATCCGGACAAATCAAGCCCTGAGAGAGGTGACAGAGTCAGTTGGTCAATCTAGTATATGTATGTGTGTACTTCCCTCTAGCATTGCATGGACAGTTAGCATTGCACATTATTGCACAAAATAGCATGTCTCTAGTCGGCTATGTTGTGTAGTGCGAGTGGGAAACTATCATCAGTTGTTATCACTATGACGATTGCACCATGCCCACCATCAAATGTGAACACAATATGTGTGAGTGCTCTGTTACTGAAATTTGAACTATTGAACGCTACCTGCTGCAGAAGCTGTATGGGCTGGCGAGTCTTGCGGCCCAACTTGTGACGGTTTTCCTGTTGGAGGAAAGTGAATCTTATATCATGAACTGATCTGTATAAATGATGCATTTTCAGTTTTCATGATACCTCCATGACTTAAAAATAACAGAATGTGCAGAATATCAAATAGAAGGCATTTGTCCACAGTGACTAAGCCAAGAAGTTTCACAAAAGGTAGCTTCACCTTTAAATACATTTAATGTGTTTTTAATTGTATTAGACACTGTTGTTCTGGATAATACGCCACGTTTCATGATCCTCTGACTGACCTTCATTCCTGTTCTTTAAAATCAACTTGGCCACCTGCATAACATCTTTAGTAGTGTACATGTCGACCATCAAGTCCACTGTTTTCAGTCTGCCTGCATTCTCCAGATGGCACTTTTTGATGGCAGGGAAACCATCCAGTAACTCAGCATCCTGCAGGTACCACTGGAAGAGTTTCAGTTCTTCTTCTCCCAAATCCTGCAAAGTCTCCAGCAGCTGCTGCTTCATAGGCACCTCCATCTCTGCTCCCTGATAGAGTCAGAGTGTGTGAGTGAGCTGTAAAAATCACAGAAAATGAAAGGTTCAGATTGTCACATATCATCATGTGTAGGGTTGATAAACTCTGCTTTTCAGCCTTTACCAGATTATTTACTCTAGTAAATCTATCTTCACAATTATTGTCTTTTATTTACTTATATTTTTAATGAGATTCTAAACAATAGTATAGCTGCACACTAGTATATTCTATGTAAAGATATAGTGGAGTAATGGCGTCCTGAGCAGAGAACTCACTCACACCTGCTCTGTCTGTGTTGTAAACTGAGTTTCTCTGGTCTTTGTTTGGTAGCTGGTCTGTCAGTGTGTGCTTGTTAGTGCATGTGAGTCCCTCCTGCTTAACCATTGGCCATCTGCATATTTATAAACACATAGGCTCCGCCCACAGGTGAGGTGGCACAGCACAGTATGCAGCATTCAGGTGAGAATGACCTTCCAGAATTTCCTCCACTGTTGAAACCACATTTTCATCTAAAAAGGCCTCAGACAAAGAAAGTGGTGAGACCAGAGCACAGACAGACTGGTTATAGTGACTACTAACTCAAATCCCAGTCAGCTGGTGGACCATCAAAATATCCATAAAGTTTTTAAAATTTTTACTGGCTCCATCAGTGTCATTCATTCAGCCTGTCCAAGCAGATAAAGCAAAGGCTGAATTTCTTTCCCAGTCTGACCATGGAGCAAATACTGGTTTGCTAAAGGGTCTAGCTTGACTCTGAACTGGTTTTTCTTCTCCACCATGTGTAATTAACCTGATGTTTCATAATGTTACATGAATGTTTTCATTAGTGACGGCCACAGTAGACATGATAGAATTAGCTAACTTGCTGTTAATTATGAATGTGTTATTGCTAGCTGGCTAACTGGCTGTGGAGCTAGTGGATGGATCTAGTGTGACATCTAGTGGCAGTGACAATCATTTACAGAACCTTTAAGGTTGTACAATACATTGGATTGGTATTGGGGCTGATATTGGCCTATTATGTGGATATAACAGTGGGTGGGTGACTCAGTATTTAGTGCCACAACCTCCCTGGATAATGATGTTCTATTCATAACTGAATGTTATCAGTCATGCCACCAGGAGTCCCAGTGTTTCTGCTCTGCTCTGATAATTTGCTGCACTGACCTGATGTTACATTAAACTCCTGCTGATGTTCCTGAAAGATTAAATATGTCTGAAATATCACAGACTCTTGTGTTGTACATGCATCAAAGGGATTTACTTTGATGATGACATGGTCTCTACATGACTAACATTTTAACAAAGGTTAATGCTATAATTACTTTAACAATGTAAAATCAGATGTGACCAACAACTTTTGCTAATGAAATATTGCATAATTTATCATCAGAGCATTAAAATATCTTATTTAATCTATCATCAATGAACATTAACATGGTTAATAATTACAAGACTGTATCGTTTGTAAGATTAAACTGAGCTGATTGCAGCTTTCTGTCCTTTCTCTGGCTGCAGCTACCTGCTCTCCAACTGTATCCAGGACAAATTCAGGTCAAACATCATGTGTACAACATGTGTGACTCACAGCATTGACGGCCGACAGCAGACAGACTGTATCTCAGAGTTCACTCTGTGCCTCAGACATCACAGCGTCAGCTCTGTGGATTTGACGACTGCTAAGAGATGGAGATCGTTTCACTTCACCTGTAAGCACTGTGACTGATTAAGTCATTACATCACAAACTTATTCTGGATTTTCCTGGTTAATATTGACACAAATCCCGAACCACCATCAAACAGCTGAGAGCTACGTTACGTCTGAGAGTTCAGAGTCAAAGTCCAAACTGAAGAAGCACAGAGAACAGCTAAGAGACTTCAACACAACCTGGTTTGGTGATTCACAGGTGAGTTAGGTGTTCGGGCATCTTAGGTAAACTTAGTTATAAAGTTTCATGTACACCACAGTTTAATGTTCTGGGCCTTGTTTTCCAAAAGCATTTACAGCATTTATTAAAGAATTAATTCAACCTGACATATGACAAATAAATGTGGCTTTTGTGGCTCAGTGTTTCTTGCTTACTTTACACTCGCCACCTGGTTGTAGAGACTCAAAGTAAACAGCAGGAATCTCCTACAGCTTTACAGATAAACCTGATTTGCTCATGAATTATTTCAGATGCTCGTCTCTGAGTCTGACAAAAAATAAAACCACCAGTTACCAAATGTTTGTCCCATTTACTCCAGTTCTTGTAATCTCCAGGTTGAAGAAAATTCTTGTTACTTTGATGCGGACAGAGTCATTTTATCTCATCAGCTGCATTAGTAAGTCTTTCTTTCAAAAGTTGACATTCATAATGTTTTTTCTGCCCATTCTGATCTAAAACCCAGAGCTGTTTGATGAGAGACACTTATGGTCTGTTTCTGAGTGAAGAGGAAACACAAATCATTCATCTGTACATCAACTGAAATCTTTCTTTACATCATTTATCCTGTATAAATATCAGCAACTCCTAAACTGATTGGCTCCTCTTCTCTGTTTCATATCAGTGTCAGTTGAATGCAGCCAGACAGCAGTGTGAGGCAGAGGAAGCTGCCATCAGCTGCTGTACTTCTATCTGATCAGAATCAATTGTAGAGGATCCTTTGATTGATGTACATACTGTATAATCTAATTAAACCTCTAGCAACTGGGAACAGATACGCCTAGTCTGGGAATTCAGGATAACACCAGTAAAAGTAGAGATTCTTACAAGATTCATAAGTCTGCGAAATCCACTGAGTTTATCTGACACATTCAGGTGTTCATGTTCTGTTCAGTCAGCTAGTTTTAGTTATACTCACCCCTGCTCTGTCAGCTTGCAATCACATGAGTGCTGGAGTCCTCACTGGTCAGTCATATGACATGACAAACCTACTCCTGCCTCCTACACCCACTTGGAGTCAACTGTAAACCCTCTGTTAATCAGAGTCTTGTGTCATTCTAACATCCAAGCAGCAGATTTCTGCTGTTTCTAGTGGACCAAGATGACAGCAGTCAGCACTAACAACATGAGCAAAGAGTCGTTCAAGAGGAAGAGACTGGAAAATGTAGCTTAACTTACCTCTAAATCGTGAAATGAGGCTGCGCCACAAAAGTCATAGGAACTGAAACTACAGTTTGAACAGGAAACAGGGAAGTGGACGGAAACAAGACTGTGTGTGTATGTGTGTGTGTGTGTGTGTGTGTGTGTGTGTGTGTGTGTGTGTGTGTTTGTGTGTGTGTATGTGTGTGTTAATCGCTGCATGCTGCCAACTACTGTACTGGAGGGTGTAATATTGTGACTTCATTCTGGATATTGAAGACGTTTCCATTTAATATTGATATAAAGCCATTTGAACCAGTAATTATTTACCTCCTCTCTCCAACAGACCTTTGATACCCCTCTCCCTTCCCACATCGACCAGCCTGTTCTTCAGTCTTTCTCTACACTGGATGTCCTACAACCTATCACTACATACCCAATACTTTCATTGCAGTTACAAGTCTCACATTTATCTGACTCTTGCTTTAGCATCATATTTGAGCATTGAGTCCTGTGTGTCCTAATCTTAGTGTAGAAAAAAACATGTACCTCTATGACTTTTCACAGACTTTTGTAAGAATCTCTATTTTTACTGGTGTTATCCTGAATTCCCAGCCCAGACATATCTCTTCCCAGCTGCTGGAGGTTTAATTAGATCATATGTGCATCAACCAAAACATCCTCTTCTACTGATTTTAAACTGTGAACTGCAGAATCTGAACCAATCTCTACTTTACCTGGTTTAACCTCCTCTACCCACCGAAGACTGATGAGTATAACAGTCAGTTCTGCTGTTTGAAAGCATTCTAACTATTCCTTTGAACTCCTACATGTTCATTATTTGGGTCTTTCAAACCAGATGTAAAATTATTTAGCTAAGTATAGTATCCTTTCTTCAAATGTTCTTGAAATAAGTAATCAGTGTTAAACTTTCCTCTCTGACCGCTCTCTTCTCTTTTCTAATAGTTTCTGATTAATCTTGGCTTCTGGAAATATCCATGTGGAAATGCTGCTGCTAATAACAGCTGGACTGTTGTGTATGGTATCTATGTTATACTGTTTGTCTTTCTTCTAGAGGATTTTAAACCACTAGAAAATGTGTACTCCCAACAATTTTGCACAAAAGTTTTGAATCTCATTCACTCCTCCCTACTCACTATCCAGGGAGTTCAATGTAGAGGACTATATATTGAGCTCATCGATAAAATGAAAAAACACTTTCAGACACTATTCTGGTAATTTTCTCTGTACCATTTTTCTGTCTTTCAGTGCAAGCGCAATGCATGATGGTGTATATTGCTTGGTTAGTGACCATTGGTTGTACACTACTTTTCATGATGCATTGTGGGATACTATGAGTCACTATACATTTGGACAGCACTACAAAATGACAATATCCTATATAGTGGACCATATATAGAGTTGTGAGTGATTTCGGACACAGCCACAGTCTTGTTTCCATCACTTCCCAGTTTAACTGTAAATTCAGTTCCTATGGCTTTTGTGGCTCATTTCTCCATTTAAAGGTAAGTTACGCAGGATTTTTCGGTCTTTTCCTCTTGAACGACTTTTTGCTGATGTTGTTAGCGCTGACTGCTGTGATTTTGTTCCGCTAGAACCAGCAGAAATCTGCTGCTCGGTTGTTAAAGTAACTCAGGACTCTGATTAGAGGTGACTGACCAGTGAGGACTCCAGCGCTCATGTGATTGCAAGCTGACAGAGAAGGGGTGAGTATAACTAAAACTAACTGACTGAACATAACAAACACCAGAAAATCACTGGACCAAGTGTTGAAATTATGCTCTTTTAATTATCAGTAACATGGTGATTATTCAACGTTATAAGTGCAGTCCTAGACAATCAGCTGGTCGGAGTGTGTGTGTGTACGCGTCGGTGTTGCAAGCATAGTTATATACATTAAACTATGGCAGGGCAAA